ATTTGAAAATATTTATAGCTAATTTGCCTCCTACTACAACAAAAATAATAATTATATAATTGAGATATTCGAAAGAAGCATTTTTGATATACCTCGATCAAGTTGTGATTATATCACTTTTCATTGAGGTGTTATGACCATAATTTTCTTATCCATTTTCAGATAAATCCACCAACCCCAAATCACAAATAAGTGTTACACTTCGAGTCTAGTTATTTATCTTGTGAATACCTTTATACTCAACTGGCACCGTGATGTTTACTAGTCAGATAAATTAAGCTATGTAATTATCGCAAAACTTACCCTTTTCCACAGAAAAAAAAACACTCAAATAAAGTAGCACTTGGAGATACACAGGAAGCATGCAATCATAGTGAAACTCACAGGCAAAATGGATGCCGGCAAACGGGTCGGCTCAGGTCGGCTTGCCAATGAATATTTTCTAAATAATGGAGTTTTAATATTTTTCAGTGATTGAAAAGTAAATGTTTGATGAATTAATATTACAAAAGAAATATTGTATTTAAAATATTTAAAAGATATTGAATAAATCTTTAATAAAAATATTATATTTCAAGTATTTATTAAATATTTGTTTTAGATAAAAATATGAAATATTGAATGAATATTTCGTGCTATCGGGGGTGGCCTCGTCTGTACACAAAATTAATTTGACAAACCGACGGAAATTAGTGACATGGTTTTTCGTGATGTGCATGTCATATAACATGGATAAAGTCTACTTCGGATCGCCTATAATCCTGTACCGCAAAGTCGGCCATACCAGCCTCACCGTGCGCTACATCAGGGGGCCCAAGTGAACGCCGCAGACCTTTTTGCTATTCAGATCAGATTCCTTGCAACATACCTTAACATTTATATGATGTTACCGGCTCGGCGCGGCGCGACTCAAGTCGTTCTTCCATTTTAGAATCCGCAACGATCTTTATTTATTGTTACCGCGCACGGTGACATTGTGCAATGAGAAAGCCGTTAGCCACCGGATAATGCATAAGAAGTTAGTGCGAACTGTGAACCTTTTTTCCAATACCGAAGCAGTCACTAAGCCAAAAACTCAAGTAGCGGGGTACTATCACTAGCTAAAAATTTGAATTTTTGATAATTTAAATATATGAATCATTATAAATATAAATATCACACATTAGATGAATAAATAAATTATAACGATAACTTTATTTCCCGATGACTACACAATTAGTAGTATTAGAATTGTCAATTTCAGGTAATCATGTATACAGGGTGTTAATTAAGTACACACCATAAATTTAACGGAGGATTATTTGAGTATTACATATATCCCGCACGTTCTTCATTCTCAAGATATCTACAGGATGTTAAAGTTTAAAAAAATGGTTTTTCCTAAATCTCTTAAATATCCTTTACCTAATTGTGTTGTAATTTAGCGGTGGTATGTATAACATCAAGGACCTAATTTAGACCTAACTTGATTATATTCATTAAGTCCAGTGGCGTCTCGAGCAGGATCTGAACGAATATGTGTGACAAAAAAATGTACGCCACTGACTTCTGTGCAATTTTTATTAAATTATTTGGATTAAGCAAATAGAAATACAACTCTTTTGTCTCTTGAATTTATTTCGTATCTTCGTTAGTTTTCGAGAAAAAAAAGTCCTCTAAATTGTATATGGCTGGACCACACAAGGAATATGGGGAAAGGTTTCTTTTGGAAATTAATTTTTTTATAATTTTTTATTTCTAATTATGTTAATTTTATTTAGTATTTGTTGTTGTTACATAACTAGTAATAAAAAATTATAAAAAAATAATAATTTCCAAAAGAAACTTTTCCCCATCCATATTCCTTATGTGGTCCAGTGATATGCCTTTACCTTTGTATCCACCCGTAGTAATCCTTTCCTCTTTTAAAGTAGCGCCGACGACCATCTAGGGCCAGCCCACCCTCGTTTCCTTTTCAACAGTTATCAGTGCAATATGGGGACATGCCCTCTGTTGGTTAGTAGCTATGTTAACTGGCTCATAAGTAGAAGCCGCTTTAACTGTGAAGGCAGTGTCATCGGCGTATCGCGTTACGGCAATATTTGGACACGTTGCCATGACGATGATGAAAATAAAAAATAACGGATCCAGTGTTCTTCCCTGTGGAACACCAGGTTCCACAACTAAAGGTGAATATTTAAGAAGGCCTCTTTCAGTTTTAAACTTTTAACGCTCATATAAATACGCTGTCAATCAATTAAGATCCCACCCTCGAATACCATAATCAAAAAACTTAATTATGAGAGTTGAATGGCCTACTGTATCAAAATAAACCATCAATAAATAATATCTACCTCTGTGGTGATGAATTTTAATATTTTCTAGAGGTAACGCTTTCACATATATATTTTTAATTTCTTATGCCCAGGTATACATTGTATACCTACATTGCTGTCACATCAGGTAAATATACGTACTTATTTGGTTTTGGAACTGTAATTTTAGGTGATTTGCTTCTTCATAATAATTCATAGTAATGGTATAAATATGTTAAAAACGTACAGTTATCTTCACATATACTAAGTGACATATAAATCCGAACACCCAGTTTAAATGGTTTTATTTTAATAAAATTTTGTATAAGTACTTAATGGAGCATATCAAGTAAATGACAAAAATGTCAAAATGATTGCACTGCTTTAAAGCCCTTTGACCTTTAATAATGTGTGGATGCACCCTGATGCTACGCATTCTCCAACGCGCCTAGGCATGCTTCTGATCAGGTGGTCAATGTCCTCCTGTGGTATCTCATTCCAGGCAACCACCAACTCCTCTCGAAGTGCTTCTAGAGTCTGAGGAGGACGTTGCAAATTGAGCAATCTCCTACCCATCATATCCCACACGTGCTCAATTGGGGATACGTCGGGAGATCTTGGTGGCCATGGTAACAATGTGACATCATTATGTTGAAAGAAGTCTATTGTGACTCTTGCAACATGTGGTCGGGCATTATCTTGTTGGAAAGTTGGATCTGCCAGGGTGTCAAGATAGGGTAAAAGATGGGGTTCTAGAACTTCGTGGATATAACGCTGCGCGTTCATGTTACCTCTGATGAAGATTAAAGGTTAGCTGGAACCATAAGCTATAGCACTCCAAACCATAACTCCAACAGTGTGATGAACATGTCTTTCAACAAAAAACTGTGGATTCCTCCTTTCACCACGTCGCCTTCTAACCCTGATACGACCATCGTGCATGCCTAAACAAAATCGAGACTCGTCACTAAAAAAACTGTTCCATTCCTGATCCCAGAGTGACCGTTGTCTGCACCACTCAAGGCGATTACGTCGGTGTTCTCGAGTTAAAGGGAGGACCCAGTGTGGCCGGTATGAAAAAAAGCCAAAACTTCTCATTCGTCGGTAAACACTTCGCATGCCAATAGGTCTTCCGTGTTCTGCAAACCATTCATTTGCAATGGACCTGGTAGTGGAGAAACGGTCCCTTAAGGCCAATAATCTTAGGCGGCGATCTTCACGGTCTGTTGTTCTACGGCGGCGTCCAGTGCCCCTTGCTCTTTGCGTACGGCCTTCTCGAAGCCATGCCTGACAACACCTAACCACAGTGTCTACACTTCTTTGCACTCTAACTGCAATTGCCCGAAAAGAAAGTCCAGCTTCCCGAAGTCCCACTATACGGCCCCTATCAAACTCACTAAGTTGACGAAATCAGGTCTCCGTACTCTAGGCATCGTAACCGATCGTAAAGGATGTCAAGAACCAAAATCCGCCAACGTTGATTCTTTACTGCGGCTGAAATATTCATTTTTAGAGCGTTAGTGAATTAAAAAAAAGCAGTATAAAAACCGGAATGTCCAACTGATAAGGCTGAAAATTTTTTCACTTGTTATTTACAGTAAGATAAATACATTCACCAACTTTTATTAAAATAAAACCATTTAAACTGTGTGTTCGGATTTATATGTCACTTAGTATATATCTTTTTTCTTATCGATTCCAATAAGCAGTGCTTGTTTTGAAAGGATATTCAGTAAAATACCAAGGATATAAATAGAATGACAATAGATTCAATTAAAGCCGAAATATTAATACGATTAAACATTGGTCAACAATTTTTAGGTTTTAAAGCCTTTTTGAATACTCCAAAGGGTACCAAATTGGTGGAATCGATGAACTCAAATGCCAAATACCTGTGGCAAAGTAGAAAATAAGTATGTTTTAGTTGTCTCATAATTTGATCCCTTATGTTTCATCTGTAATCTCATAAGTTACCAAAAAAATAGTATGGTGTAACTAAACTTTAATAATAATTCGTAATATTTCTTTGACCCAACTATAATCCCAAAGTCCCCACTTTTTTAAATGCCGAGCAGATAGTTTGATCCCATCTGGGGGACGTTGCCCGACCTCAAAATTTATCACGATTTTGCGTACAGTTTCGAGGATTCTTGCAATCCCCTGGGAAAATGTGCACCTCCCTCGCTATTCAAAAAGTTCATTCGATCAGGGACACTTCCACAAAAAAATTATCTCTTGCCGACGATCGCCACTGCTTTGGTTAATGGTTCTTAAATACTCATCGAAGACAAAACTTACCATTTATCCAGTGAAAAAGCTTGACTTCCAGTTATGTCCCGCAGAATGACGAAATACTGAAATTGTAGCGCGAAAACCATTGCAATAGGTGCACGAAACAATTCAAAAGTCTCACAATATAAAAATCTAAATTATTTGGATCACAGAAGTTTCAAACCAGGATAAAGGAAAATATTTGCTTAATATTTACCAATACTTAAGGGATTTGAGAAATTCAAATTAAAACTGACAAATTGACAATTAACTGTCATGTTACTTTGTCAGGCATGACATCCACCTCTAGAAAACAAAAATTTCTGCTGAAATTTGGTGCATATGCTGCCATCTTCAGAGCAGTAGTTACGTTAATAGCAAGAAATACGGAACGCAGCTCAAACATTTTTAAGGCAGAAACCTTCCTCTGTTCAACGACAAAGAAAAAAGTAAGGTTATACTTTGATAACCTCAAAGCTTTTCAAAGGTATTTTTGGTTTTATGTACGTTTTGCTAAAAATGAGGACGTTGTGCTTAGTGTTTTCGAAAGCAACGATTAGGACTACCAGTTTCCAACAGATTCGCTGCTTACCCAGATGGAATCACAGGCGTCCTGTAAAAATAATCGCTAGTGATGAATATGATGAGGAAAGGGACACACAAATAAAACCAAAACACCATGAACACAAGAACGAAGAAGAAATCAAAAGCCCCTCAAAAATAAATTGGAATCCTCCAAAACCAGCTACTAAAATACTGGAGGAAATCAAGCAAGCTACTAAGCCAAAAGAATATAAAGTGAAAGCAAATATAAAACCTATTACAATTACAAAGAAGAAAACAGTCTCAAAAAAAGCTGGGTCTTTTGATATGCTAGAGACAATAATAGATAAAGATGGTAATTTTATATATACTAAGATGGCAAATAATGACCCAAGGATTTCAGCCATTATGGCTGCAGTCAAATCTAAAAAAGAAAAGACCAAGAAAGACCTCATCTTACTGGAAGGTAAACGTCTGATCAAAGAAGCCCTTGATGCAGGGTGTAAGCTAGATTACATATTATTCAGTAGAATGGATGAATTAGATCACATCAGACCATCTCTACCAAAAACAGGGGCAAAGTTGTATAAAATGCCTTATAGAGAGATGCAGCTTTGGTCAGACCTTGTTACAAATCCTGGCATTATGGGATTGTTCAAAATACCAGATGCTGAGGCTATAAAAGTGCCTGAAGACACACTTCCTATAACAGTTATCTGTGATAATGTCCGTGAAGGGAACAACCTGGGGGCTATATTGAGGACATGCAGTGGAGCAGGAACAAACCAGATTATCTTAACAAAAGGTTTGTATGTTTTATATTTTATGTTATCTAAGAGCCCTTCCTCACTGGAATGTCATAGCAATGCTGCTATGTTCTGTAGCCTATTTAAATATATATGACACCTCTGACATGACGGCGAGTGGTGACAAACACCAAAATTATCACCACTAGTGGTCATGTCAGCGAGCTTTCATATGAAGGGTACAGGAGCAAAAGATGGAATGTCACAAAGACCAAGTTTTGTGTAATAAACATTTTGATATTTGAAAGTCAATAACTTTTTTAATCATCATTCATTATACAAGTTAATAGGAACTTAAGTTTACATTATAAGGCTTAGTTTTAGGCACATGTAAAACTTATGCAGAGATAACTAATTGTAAATGTAATCAAAAATTAAAGTAATTTAATTATTTGAAGAACAAAAACAAGGAATGTCCGTCACAACCAAAACAAAGAATCTTTGAAACTAATTAATGTTACTAATTATATATGAGTAATGCTATCAAAAAGGGCTTAATAGCAGAACACAATTTTTTCAGGAATATGAGGTCCTCATACTTCTCTGCACTAATGGGTTGATAATCTTTGTAGGCAAAATGTGGTAATTCAAACTGATTGTTACATGAAGATTCGTGCAGGATTCTTCTCTGTGTGTTCAGTATATCCCACAAACCATTGCTGTTAGTTCATTGCAAATTTAATCCTAGATGACCTCTTATCCCCATTATTTCTTTGTGACTGGATTGGAAAGGATAACTTTTCCAAATACATATCTTGGAAAAAGTTAATTTCCTGATGATTTCACCCATCCCCACTTCAATCACATCAAGCAGTTTGGGCCTTTGGAGACTTATTTTAAGGGAAAAATTTAAATTAACCAAGTCCATATTTTTGTCGCATTCTAAGTGTGAATGGCCACGAACAGGATAAGTTACTTTTATCTAATCCAAAAGCTTCAGTGTATGGACCACAAAATAAATAAACCTCACTACAGTGTAGTTCTTGTTCTATCCACCTGCTGAGTCGCAATATATTTCCAAATGATTCACGCGACGATCAAATTAATTTGTAGTGAAATACAAATAAAACTACTTCATCTGAACTTATTTCAGGATAGGTGTAAAAGTAGGAGTTAGCATCATTCAAGACATGTAAATTAAATGAGTACATGGACAACTGGCATTTATAATACACGTCATTAGTGGTGATGTTTGGCAGTGAGACATTTTTTTGATAGACCATGGCAATAGCTTGAAATTCAGCTTCAGCCCTGCTTTTCATTCTAGCATTCTTCTTCTCATCATAAAATATTTGAGTCTTTTTCTGGTGCAAATTGTTCAGCTTCATTATTTCCGTCCTCCATCAGTGCCTTGGCTTTTATTTGAAATTCATCACTACTGTCAGTATCAGTACGTGGGTAGTGGGTAACCGAATGATATGTTAAATTCTGTGTTAAATAGTTTTCTGCGGATTTGATAAGTTACATTATTTTCAGGTTGTGGGTATTGATGCGAATACATCTTGAACTTTTTTTTAGATTCAGGTCTTCAAGTAAATATTCTTTTTTGGTATCAGTCAAACTGTAGTGGCTTTGTCTTCTTTTGAATGATTCAGTATGGTTACAATTCATGATTTGCCTCTTTTATGATATGGCACATTGCCTGTTGATTTCAATTTCTTTAAGAAGCGCTCAATTTTTTGGCTGACTGCAAATATGGACAAAAAGGCCTTGTAGCAAACATCCATGCTTACTGTTAATGAACCTAAAATCCTTATCTCAAACAACAACATAGTACAAAATGGTGTAATTTGTCGATTTTGACTAACCTCAAAGTTAATTGTTTGTTGACTGACAGGTGGACATTCCTTCTTACGTTCTGTTATGTTAAGGACATTCCCTGTTTTGCGCCTGCACTACGTTTCGAAACGTAGGTGAAATTATGGACTACACTGGTTTTTACACTTTTTGATTCATACCCAATGAAATTACACAGGAAAATGCAGATGTTGCCATCATTATCTCATTTTTGCATTTTTCCGACATTCCTTGTTTTGCCCCTGTACCCTTCATATATTTCAATAGATTAATCTGGCCATAGGTGCTAGCATCATTGCCATGATGACCTGGTGAGGGAAGACTCTAAAATTTACTCAAAATATGTGCTCATTATCTTTGTTTATAAAGATAGCATCCAAACAGAAACTTATTATGAATATATTTAGTTCTGGTATCTAGTAGAACAAGTTTTTGTTCACATATTGTACAGTTATCAATTGATCTAAAAGCCTATTTACATGGCAGTTTTTTTGTGTGCATGGGCTGTAAGTCTTGTTTGAAAAACTTAACCAGTATCAAAGCTATGTTGTATGTGATATTCAAAAAATCAAAAAAAGACTTTATTGTTGCATGTTTCAAGAATCTAAACAATCAGCAAGATAAGAAAGTTGATAAAAAAATTTTCTCAATAATTTGTAACAGCAGTTATTTGTGAATACAAAATGAATATACTATCATAAACTTTTTCAGCCAGTTGTTATATATTTTCAACATATGCATCTTTATTTTAAAGGTTGTGTCAATGTCTGGGACACCAAAGTACTCCGAAGTGCATGTGGCGCCCACTTCAAACTTCACATCGAACGCAAACAGGACTGGCCGGATCTCAAGAAACTTATTAATCCAAACTCATCTATCTTCATAGCTGATAACCAAACTGTCACTAGTACTAACAGTAAAGAGGTGATCAATGCTATCAGGTCCGTCCCAGTGCTGCCATATTATAGTGTAGATGTTACTACAGCTCAGCACATAGTATTGATCATAGGAGGGGAGACTGAAGGCATTAGTGAGGAGTCTTATCAGTTAGCAGCTGAGACAGGTGGCGTCAGGTTAGAATAATAAAACATTTTTTACATAATAAAGCAGAGCTGAAACGTTATATATAAGAAAGACCTTGTTGATTTGAGCTGCTTTCCAGGGCTTTTCAATTCAGAGCGACGATAAAAACCTAACCTTTTTTTTTTCTTTGATGTTGACAATTTGTATCACACTGCCAAACAGTGAAAATGTAAATGTATTTTGCCTTTATTTTCAGAAGCATTGTCAGATATCCAATTGATGCCTGATGATGCTTCTAGAATGATGAAGCAACACGTCATAGGTCTGCATTATTATTGTAAAACTTCTGGATATATGCGTCGAATTTACATTTTAGTGTAGACATTCAAAATCAGCTCAGGTGCATGACACTCTAGACTCTAGAGCACTGGAACAGTATTGACAGGTGGTGGGTAGCTCCAAGTTACTCCGAGTAACACAAATGAGGCACTGGAAAGCGGATCTGATGTATGGAACTTGACCAACTAAAGCAAAAGCCTTCCAAGTCTGCAGGACTAGAATGTGTTTATATTTTAGAAAAGATCTTGGAGGAAGAAGTATTTTACTGATTTTCCAGCCTTTAAAAACATAACACTATCTGTGGAGGTGCCTTAGTTTCTCTACCTTCCTCAAGACAAAAAGTGTGTTTCTTTGACTCGGTGATATTTGAGTATTTTTCAAACTAATATAATTCATTTGACGTCAATTGGTATGATCAATAACTTCATAAGAAACAGATCTCAAAAAGTTGTTATTGATAAGCACTCATCACCAGAAACTTTAATATCCTCGGGAGTGCCCCAAGGAACAATGCTTGGACCACTCCTTATTCTTTACATAGCTGGTCTGGACAAAGTGGTGAAATACAACAATTTCAATAATGGCAGAATTATGGTTGCAAAATCTCAAATAAATGAAGGTTATTGATGATTATGCAAAAAGTCATAACCTCTGTTTAAATCCTACAAAATCAAAAGTCATAATTCCTTACAAAAAAGGAAAGATATTAAAAGCGATACAATCATATCTCTGTATGGCGAAATTATTCAAGTGCATGAATCAGTTATCGTATCGTTAGTCGTTCCTACAATAATTGTAGGACGCCTTTATGGCCTTCTTGATGTTCATAGTCTTTTCTCTCCTTCAGAAACGCTGGCGTGTTTCTAGATTTCTATTGTTCCGTGACAGCGTCAGCGCTCTCCTATTGTGAGGTTATGTTTTCTTTTTTAAGCATAACAGTTGGTATAAGTCAAAAGCATGAACAATTTGATGCAAATAGATATTTGTAACATAACCTCAAAATAGAGCGCTGACACAAAACAGTAGAAATCTAGAAATACCCCTGTCTTTCTGAAGGACAGAAAAAACTATGAAAATCAAGGAGGCTATAAAGGCCTCCTAGAATTATTGTAGGAACAATGATACAGCCTTTAGGTATTTTTCATTACTTTGCTAGTTATACCTCTATAAACAAATTTTAGCCTACAAAACTAAGAAAATTCTATGCCAATAATTGATCATTTCAAAAAATTACGTACATATTGCGATATTTTTGGATACGATACCTATAAGATGCTGTCAAAAAAATCAAAATTCTTGCTGTAGATTAGTAGAAAACTTGAACGACCATATTTCGATTTTTTTATAAAAACTAGGTTGGTTGAATGTTGCAAAATTATATAAATATCACTTACTATGTTATGATCATAAACTGCAAATTACCTAATTACCTCCGATTTTAAAGGAAACACTAATAAATCGTATGTGTGGTCATTCTAAAGATATCCGCTTTCCAAATACACACACTATGCCTATCCACATAAGTTCTTTGTTTCAATAAAGGGTTCGCCTTTAATGCGATCTATGTATATAATTCATAACTCCCTGAAATTAAATCTTTAACATTTAATAAGTTTAAAACATATCAAGAATCTGCTTTTAGAGTGCCAAAATTAAAAATACGTATCTTTCACTTCTGCTTATAAAAATCAGTTATCTATTATATTCATGTTTGTATTTATTTTTGTATGGGTTAAGTAGAGAAATAGCTTAAGCTAAACTTCGCCCAAATAAAAAGACATTTATTATTATATTAAAAAATATGATTACAATAAAGGTTATTTTGCTTGCAGATTGAATATACCATTGAGCAATGACGTGGACAGTTTGAATACAGGAATGGCACTTGGTGTTATACTATTTGAAATGAAAAAGCAGTTGGTGATGTCAAAGTTTAGAGATCGTGCAAACATCGTAGAGAACCAAGATCCTAAATTGAGTATTTCTATTTAAACCTCCTCAGTTTACTTTCCATAGTCTGTTTTTGTGCAGTAAAAGATACGTGTATTTTCTTTTGTAACTATATGTATATAAACTGTGAATTTGTTATGGTTCCAAATTTGACTTCTGTAATAAAAGCATTTTACAAAATATTTATGAATAATTGTTTTCACGTGTTACGTGTATGATCTGTATAATCTAGAGGGTACTATCAAAACAAAAAATACGAATCATCTCAATTCAACAACATCCTTTATTTTCTAAACAAAGTATCTTATAAATATACTATATAAACTTCAAAAAATTACATTTAGACCTTAGAAATGACAATTTTATGAATGAGGCATTTAATTGCTGACACTGAGGACATCGTAAATTTAAAGCTGCATTATTTACTATATCAATCACCAATTACAATATATGTTTCGGAAATAATCTTATTAAATGATGATCCTTAACTAGGAACATTATTTTCTTTAGAATTGATTCGAAAATACTAGTTAAAAATAATTCGTGTCCCTAAAAAGATTCACAGAAAAGAGAAATATATTATTTCCTAATACGTCTAACGGTCGGGCCGTATCCTCAGTCGTTCCTCCAATTGCATGACGCCTGCATGGCTCCTTGATTTTTTGATCGTCAGTCGTTCCTACAATTATTGTAGGTTGCTTTTATGGCCTTCTTGATTTTCATAGTTGTTCTCTACTGCTCCGTGTCTCCGCTCTATTTTGAGGTTATGTCACAAATATCTATTTCCATCAAACTGTTCATGATTTTGATTTATATCATTTGTTTTATCAGCCTGAAATTCACTGCAATTCAAATTCAAAAAGAAAACATAACTTCACAAAAGAAGAGCGCTGATGCTGACATGGATCGGTAGGAATCTAGACATACCCCGGCCTTTCTGTAGAATAGAGAAGACTATCGAAATCAAGGAGGCCATAAAGGCGTCCTACAATTGTAGTAAAGACTGACGATACGGCCCTAAATCATGCACCGGAATAATAATATGGTCATTTGTAACAAATGAATTTTGTCTTTCAAAATCACGACAAAAAATCGGTCAACAAACAAATGATGTCAAATTTCAATATGTCAAAAATTATAATAAAACATATTGAAAGTCGAAAAAAACATTAATAGCCTTAAAGGCTGATATTATTTAAATGCATGCTGAATTTAAAACCGTGCTATGAAAAAGACAAATCACGTGTAAATTATCACAGTTAAATATAAGCTGAATGAAGTAACATTACATCCTCGATATCTGAATAGGTGCCGAGGATTTCACGATTAATATAAATGGCCCTTCTTGTTGTGGTAGAAAAGTGGACGGAGTTACTTGCAGCACTCCAGACGGAATGTTGTCTAGTTCCATCACAATGTACCCAGACCTGTAAAGAATCATGTAAAGGGCTAAATTGATGGAAAAATTAAAGTCGAAACTAACGAACAACATATCAAACGCTTTGATATCATGAGAAATTTCAGTGAACATTATGGTCAAGATGCCGCGGTAAAGCGGAATCTCACAGCTGCTCATTGTGGCATGAATTGTAATTGACGATATTTCACCAGAAGACTCAGTCAGTCAACCGCTTATGAATAAAATTAGAATAACTAACTCGCCTTAATATTCAAATCAACCTTGATCACAAATCTTTGTACATATACGAGTACTTTTCCAACTATATACGGGGCGAGTTTATAGTGTTTGCTTGGTCGATAACTCCGTTATTATGCATGCTATCTAAAAAAGTTTATTACAAAAATTCTAGCAATCAGTATGTTCCTTACTAAAATATTGTTATACCTAATTCATAACTACAAGGTTACCTAAACAGGGAAGAATTTCATGATCCCACATTTTGTTTCTATCTAGTTACTCTTACAGTTTTTAAACAGTTTATACATGGTCTCCAAGAACGTAAAGTGAACGATTTCTCAAATATTTCGAATGGAACACACCCTGTATATTTTCAGATTCCTTGATTCCCCTTTCCACAAGCTTTTTTGATATTAGGTTTACGGAAGCTTGTACGACTGGTTTTTGATTACAGCTAAACTTTTTGTAAACCAGATATCAAGGTAAATGAAAAATGAATACCGATCTTTATAATTTATTCATTTTCAGTATAAATTAAATTTACCCAGCCTGATGCAATAAAGATGAAAAAGCAAGATGTCCGTTTGTTTTTTGTAACTCCAAAACCAGACGTACAAACTCTCATACGCCTTAAACAGGGTGGCCAATATACAGAGTGTTTCAGTTTATTGTTGCATAACTTTAAGATTCGATAGAACTTTTAAAATTAATGCATAAAGTCTATATAAACATGGGTCGAAAAATGCGTGGCTTCCGAAATACAGGGTGTTTAAATTTACTTTTTAAAATAGTTTTACTGTAGCCGCTAGAGGGGCGCTCTCTACTGTACCTGTAGTGTATTAAAATGACCGAAAAATTTTTCTTAGTGCATTTTTTTGCTTTTTGAATAAAAAACTAATTCTTCGCACTTTTCTGCATAAAAAAGCTCTCCTTTGAGTTTTCGTTATAGTTAGCCGTTTTTGAGATATTTCGATTTTTAAGGTTCGATGCATTTTTAATTATTCATGGGAAAATAATATTTTTTTTAGATTTTCGATTTGGGCATTACAAGTAATTAAAAATAAATACAAAAAACAGAATATTAATTTGTTTAATTTTCCAATATTATTTTTAACAAATTAAATTAATTATTTACAACTAAAAAGCTATTGGATAGTTAGGACAAACATATCATACAAAATCTAAAGTAGTTGCTCGAAATGTAAACCCAATTGTTCAATACACAATTCACATCTACGAATGATCGAACGTGGTATAGCATTATTCAAATAAGGCCTTATTTCATCACAAGCATTCCTGATTCTGTCTATTAGCATATCTCTTGTGGTTACGGGAGTCTGGTACACTTTTACTTTTAGAAATCCCCACACAAAGAAATCTAATGGATTTAGGTCAGGGGATCGTGGAGGCCAGGCGACTGGTCCTCCACGGCCTATCCATCTGTCTGGATAATTTTCGTCCAGCCAGTTTCTAACTATTCTCGAATAATGAGATGGACAACCATCAAGCTGGAACCAGGCCAATCTTCTTGAATCTAACATAACATCATCCCACATATTTGCAAGTTCAGCCTTTAAAAATTCCAAGAAGGTCGCAGCATTTAACCTTGCAGGCAAAAGGTAGGGTCCAAATAGTTGATTACGATACCAATCCACACGTTCACACTAAATTCATGCTGAAAATTTCTTTCCCGAACTGCATGCGGATTTTCATGCGACCAAATATGTTGATTATGAAAATTTACCACTCCACGTCTAGTGAAGCATGACTCATCGGTCCATAAAACGTTACTTAAAAACTCCCTATTATTATCAGTTCTATCAAGAATCCACTGACAAAATGTGATTCTTCGTTCTCCGTCCCCTGGCTGTAGTCCTTGCACAGGTTGCAAATGGTAAGGACGTCTATGGTCATTTCTAAGAACACGGTGAACATCTCTTGCTGAAATTCCCAGGGCACCAGAAACTCTCCTAACACTTGTGGTTGGATCTCTATCATACTCACGCAGAATCATACGGGTAAATCTGCGCTGACGAACATTTATGTTTTGATCCCTTTGGAGATTTCCAAAACCATTTTCAATTATTTGGCGATGTACTCTTACAAATACAGAGCGAGTTGGATGTCGTCTATTTGGAAATCTTCGTGCGTATTCTCTGGCTGCTTCTTCTGCGTTTCCATTTACAAAGCCATACACAAAATGAATATCCGCTAACTCTTGATTGGAGAATAAAAATGGCATTTTTATTAAATTTAAGAAAAAAACAGGTAAAAGAAACTAAATTTCGTGCATTCACAATTGCAAAAAACGTTTCAGGTTTCAACAGACAACAAAACTAACTGTCAACTAATTGACGTTTAACCTTATTCTTCTTTCAATTTCAAAAATATTTGCAGGCACAGCCTACTTGTAAAAATTATCGAGATACTGACTTTTTAACGTTATTTTATCATAAATAATTAAAAATGCATCGAACCTCAAAAATCGAAATATCTCAAAAACGGCAAACTATAACGAAAATTCGCAAGAGAGCTTTTTTATGTTGAAAAGTGCGAAGAATCAGTTTTTTTATTCAAAAAGCAAAAAATTGCACTAAGAAAAAATTTTCGGTCATTTTAATACACTACAGGTACAGTAGAGAGCGCCCTCTAGCGGCTACAATAAAACCATGTCCATGGTTCGTTTTGTCGTACCAAAAAAACCCTTGTATACCAATTTTCACTGTTATACATCAAATATTGTTCGAAATATTTAAAAAAAACTATTTTAGAAAGTAAATTTAAACACCCTGTATTTCGGAAGCCACGCATTTTTCGACCCATGTTTATATAGACTTTATACATTAATTTTAAAAGTTCTATCGAATCTTAAAATTATGCAACAATAAACTGAAACACCCTGTATAACTGACTAAATTTAAATTGCGCGCCATTTTTGATACACGCATCTTAGTAGGTGACGCCGTAGTAATTGTTTAAAGCACATGTCTCCAATTCATCATGAAGCGCTACATGATCCCACAATGCGTCCGTATTGTTAAAACGGTTAAATTAAATAATGAGTCGGTTGTTGCAAGGATTCGGAAGCTACGACAAGATTTCGGTCGTAATAATGCGCCCAGTGTCAACACCATTCGTCAGTTGGTGCGGAAATTTGAACAAACAGGTGAGGTTAAAGGCTTGCCAAATTTTATTTCACAAATATTCAACATACAAACCAGTCAGTTATATATCGGCCACCCTGTATAAAAAAGCTTGTGAAAAGGGGAATAAAAAATGTGAAAATATACAGGGTACTTCATTTGACAATTTTGAGAAATAGTTCATTTTGCCTTATTGACTGTAAGAACTATCCAAGAAACTGAAAAGAAAGTAAAAAATGTGGAATCCTAAATTTTATTGGCGAAAAATTCGGTACTCTAGCTGTACCATATGTAGGGCTCTGAGTCGAGTGTTTTTTCGATAGATTGTCCAATATCTCAAAAATTTGAAAATAAAACCATACAGTATGTTAAATCAGATTATTTCTTTTCAAAATGTCTATGAAATCTGCTATAAAAAATGTATGTTTGGCTCACCACGTAGTTGTAAATCGCCCTGTAGAAATAAACATATTTTCCAAGTCAGTAGCATACTGTTGGCTACATTTTTTTGTATTCAACTTTTTTAGATACCATGCATAAGAACAGAGTCTCGACCGAGCCCACACTAAAAACTCACCAACTCCTTTAGAAATTTCGAGAATCGGAAATTTGATCTAACCATGCAGGTGTTGAGAGATGATAAATAAAAACAATTTTCTTCAAATGGAAAATTATGTCTGTTTTTATTACTTAATGCGTTGATCATTATTTACGTTTACATTCTTCGAATAATAAACTATAAGGAAACACCCCAACCTTCTTACAAAACTATATAATAAGTGACATATAAATCCGAACACCCAGTTTAAATGGTTTTATTTTAATAAAATTTTGTATAAGTACTTAATGAAGCATAATAAGTAAATGATAAAAATTTCAAAATGATTGCACTGCTTTAAAGCCGTTTGACCTTTAATAATGTGTGGATGCACCCTGATGTGCTACGCATTCTCTAACGCGCCTAGGCATGCTTCTGATCAGGTGGTCAATGTCCTCCTGTGGTATCTCATTCCAGGCAACCACCAACTCCTCTCGAAGTGCTTCTACAGTCTGAGGAGGACGTTGCAAATTGAGCAATCTCCTACACGTGCCCAATTGGGGATAAGTCGGGAGATCTTGGTGGCCATGGTAACAATGTGACATCATTATGTTGAAAGAAGTCTATTGTGACTCTTGCAACATGTGGTCGAGCATTATCTTGTTGGAAAGTTGGATCTGCCAGGGTGTCAAGATAGGGTAAAAGATGGGGTTCTAGAACTTCGTGGATATAACGCTGCGCGTTCATGTTACCTCTGATGAAGATTAAAGGTGACCTGGAACCATAAGCTATAGCATCCCAAACCATAACTCCAACAGTGTGATGAACATGTCTTTCAACAAAAAACTGTGGATTCATTTCACCACGTCGCCTTCTAACCCTGGCACGACCATCGTGCATGCCTAAACAAATTCGAGACTCGTCACTAAAGACAATACTGTTCCATTCCTGATCCCAGAGTGACCGTTGTCTGCACCACTCAAGGCGATTACGTCGGTGTTCTCGAGTTAAAGGGAGGACCCAGTGTGGTCGGTAGGAAAACAAGCCAAAACTTCTCATTCGTCGGTAAACACTTCGCATGCCAATAGGTCTTCCGTGTTCTGCAAACCATTCATTTGCAATGGACCTGGTAGTGGAGAAACGGTCCCTTAAGGCCAATAATCTTAGGCGGCGATCTTCACGGTCTGTTGTTATACGGCGGCGTCCAGTGCCCCTTGCTCTTTGCGTACGGCCTTCTCGAAGCCATGCCTGACAACACCTAACCACAGTGTCTACACTTCTTTGCACTCTAACTGCAATTGCCCGAAAAGAAAGTCTAGCTTCCCGAAGTCCCACTATACGGCCCCTATCAAACTCACTAAGTTGACGAAATCGTACAGGTCTCCGTACTCTAGGCATCGTAACCGATCGTAAAGGATGTCAAGAACCAAAATCCGCCAACGTTGATTCTTTACTGCGGCTGAAATATTCATTTTTAAAGCGTTAGTGAATTAAAAAAAAGCAGTATAAAAACCGGAATGTCCAACTGATAAGGCTGAAAATTTTTTCACTTGTTATTTACAGTAAGATAAATACATTCACCAACTTTTATTAAAATAAAACCATTTAAACTGGGTGTTCGGATTTATATGTCACTTAGTATATATTACCTATACGCCCCTGAAGATCTGGACCTAAACGGCGCAGTGACAGTCTCATCATTGAGCTTCAGAATCGAAACGTCAAAGCCCATTTGATATTGTTTAGGACCTTTCAACTCTACCAACAGCTGATTACTGTTTGAAGGAGAATCAACCTCTACTTTATACTTAGGGTTATATGGGTATGTCATTGGGTGGTTTGGACAACCACCTGCTGTTATTCCTTCCCACTGTCCAGTTACCTTAAAGACAAAATAAATTATCTACTTTTAATAAAATGTAGGTCAAAATTTGTTGAATTCATAAAATGTTACCCGGATTACGGAACTGCAAAATGACAGGGATACCAATCCGATCACCATAATTGTCACTTTCTAGCTCATCCAGCTATGTGCTGTGACCCCGTTGTGATGTAACATCTGGTTCAGAGATGGCTCAAGCGGAGGTTGTGCCATCCCTCCGTATACCCCATTCTTAGTCCATTTACGCCCAGACAAAACACAACATGCCCAAAAGTGAGATTGTACAGATCCGTATTTTCCTCAATGGTCTTGGAATAATCTAACAAAATAAATGATTATTTTTATAGAAAGAAACGCACATACTTTGCACAATTCTTTATTCGCTGGAAGTACTTGAATCATCGTCCGAATGGTTGATATTAATTATTCAGGTTCAATTTGAATATCGATCATATTGTCCAGATCCCACATCTTTGTTTCTATTGTCTCTTGAACGTGACTGGTGCAATCTTTCAATATCATGAATTTTCATTTCAGGATGCTCTAAGGTTTCGGTCTAATAAACGTTAAGAACAATTTATTTTGCCCTGAATATTCAAATGTCCCTTCTTGTCACGTTTTTGAGGAGGAGACATCACTGAAGAGGAAGCATTGGGAGAAATATTCTCAGTTTCGTCTGCTGTATCCGTAGACGACACGCTAACGTATAAACACACGCTGTCGATATCCGGCGCCTGAGTTCTATCCTGTCGAATTCTGCACTTGTTCGTAGTTTTATGGACGCATGACCAATAGCTATTGCACCACTTTGGCGGCTGTCGCTTTGCCGCGCTGCATCTTTGTTGTACCGAGGCGTAAATGCACTACGAATAATAAAATATACAGTATATTCAGATAAGAGATAGACCGGACATAAACAAGACCACGTGATCATCGAACGCTGTAACATTCGGCAGCGACGTATTAAGAGTCACGCAGTACATATTTTAGATAGTGGATGCTGCTTTGCGTAACTTTGTAGTAAATTAGCACAATTCGATGTGTATACGATTGGTGATGGATATAGGATCATGTGGGGGTGGGGTAAGAAATATATAATGATGTAAATATACATAAGGGTTTCAAAATTTTCGCTTCGATTTCCAGCTTCGGATGCCGCCTGATGTTTGGTGAAATACAGTCGAATATAATCTCAAAATGGCGTTTAAATTAGCCTAAATTAAAAATAATCGTATATCTCTTAAAATTGCTTTTAGAATATTGATTAGTATATTTTAGCTATATAATTTTTAACCTCTGCCCATATGAGCACAATGGGATTGAGCTCGCAATGGTATGGAGGTAAACGGAGCACAGTTTTATTTTGACTTGCTGCCATTTCGTCAATGGCGTATTTTTGATATTCCGCCTTGTGATCCTTGACAATTCTTAATAATTGTACTTTCAGCATTGCTTCTTCAAAGTTGATATTTTTCGAGCGGAGCCAATTTTGAACATCAACTTTCCTTGAAGCCGTTGTTGGGACCTTCTCCATTCTTCGAGAATGATAAGGCGCATTATCCAACACAATTACTGCGTTTTCCTCTAAGTTCGGTAAAATTTTTGAAAACCACTGTTCAAACGATTCGCCATTTATTTCCTCGTGGTAAACTCCAGTTTTCTTAGACTCAAAGCACCACAGACCGTCATCAACAAATCCATCCTCACTGCCAATATGGCAGATAATGAGCCTTTTCCCTTTACCTAGAAATCGAAGTACTAACTGGTGTAGATTTATTTCAATAAGCGAACCTTTTTCAAATGTTTTCATCACATTCAGCGAAAAAACATTGAGACATGAGTATCAGATTGCTATAATTGGGATTATTTAGTCATATTGAAAGAAAGAATATTGAACGTCGTATGATTAATCAGCGCTTCACAATTTAATTTAAAGTTATAAACCTTTAAAAAATGAATGATCAGGAACCTGAAATACGCGCAAATATTAATATTAACAAATTATAACTTTATAAAAAGCTTAAAGTATGAATTAAAATGATTAGAAATATTAGGAACGGTACACAATATAAAACTTAGTAACTTTTTTTAAGTTTATAATATCCGACATATTTTAAGATTATATTAAAAAATTATTGAAATATCGAAAACACATAAAAACATGGCTTAAAAAAGTTCTAACAAATGAAAACGACAATAAAACATCCACGCATTTTATCGAAAGTTATAAAAGTTTTGTTACTTGTAATATGTTTTATCTGCCCCCTGGAATTAATGTTTAGAACCTTGTTCCCAAGGTTTGAAAAACATCCGATTGTTGTCTATTACTCGTATTTACCTGCTGGATTTTTTAATCCGGTGGACAGTCCATCTAGAAAGGCCCTCCTGGATGAAGTTACAGAATCATCAACCCATACTTTACTTGTAGTGTGTCCTGCGTTTACCCACGTTTCATCAAGGTAATAAATCTTCCTGTTTTGATTTCTATATTTCCCAATTTTTGTTAAATAATCCCTCCTCCATAGCACAATTTCTTCTCTATCCAGTAGTAAACTATTACGACCCCGTTTTTTCCATTTGAAATTTAAATGCTTCAGTAACGCATGGAAAGTTGATCGATTGAAATTTGGCAACGTTGTATCTCCATTTACCTCCTGCAGTACTTTATCTATAGTAGGTATTTCATTCCTAAAGAAGAATTCAAGCACTTTCCTCCTAATCGCATGCTTATCAGCTTCATCCAATGATTTAACAATACTTTTGCGATGTTTACTGGTCATTGGCTCAGAAAAGGTGTGATTTTTTTGTGTTGTCTTAACACATTAAACACTGATGCGCGACACACCCCAACTTTGTGAGAAACCTTCACAACAATTTCTTTGATGGTTGATGCCTCGTTCTCCTCGCGCTCGAGCTTATATATATTCAAAATGACCTCTTTCATTTCTGCACTCAGGTGTCTTTTTTTAGAGCGTTTCCTAGGTGGACTACAGGAGTTTACAACTTCATCGGCAGTATCTGTACTACTGGGCATTTTGCGCAAGCAGTTGATAACAATAACAATCAATAACAAGGTATAACAATAACAACGACAAACTCAACAACTCAATAAGATAACAAACGAAAACGTCCAAAGAAATATCAAATTGCAATGATGCACACGACATACGTAACACGTGAACCTGAATGTGACTCTGCCGTGATACGACTGCTCTGCCGTTCGGCATAGGCATTTAATTGCGAATTGACCAATGAGGGCTCCTGTTTTACGTCGAGACGGCGGCGTTAGCGTGAAAATCACCCGAACCTTTTGTTTATATCCGGTCTATCTCTTATCTGAATATACTGTAGTGACTAGCTAATACACAAGTCACAATTATGTCGATCGGATCGCTGCCATAGCTACTATTTTACATAATACAGGTGCGGTACGCTAAGTACCACACCTCATTACAAATTATTTTGGATGGAAACAGACTCATACCTGTTTTTCGTATCTATATGGATCTACTATCTTTGTCAACGTGAATGGACAAGTCGCGTATGCTCTAAGCGTATAATAGATTGTTGTAGATTTTTCGTACTGTGAGACAACAACCGTATATTTCCTACTACTACTTGGATTCAGAATTATTTTGCACAGGTAGTGTGGACTATTTATTTTGACACCATCTATATATGGAGGCGGATCAACTGAAAACAAGTTATTTTATCAGCAAACATGAAAATTTTATTTACGAAACACTAAACTTACATGGATAATATACTTTCCGACCGCCTTTGTAGACGAACAATGTTATATATTCCTTGTTTTCTCTGAAATCATCTATTTCAGTAATATGTCTGGTGAGTAACAGCCACACGGCTCCAGAACTTTCTGTTTTTATGTCCAAGGAATATTGAGGGTTTGAACCAATTGTGTATACATCTTTCACTGGACCTGTTCCTGCATGCCAGGACCTTGAAAACAGATCATTCATTACTATTAGATGGGCTCTGTGCTTTACGTCTTAAGTTTTGACCCAAAACATATCAATTTTCAATAAGTAATGACTTACTGATGGATGCAGTAAGTATAACTAAACAGTTCTGGATTCCAATTCATATAAAAGACATCGAAAAATCTGAGAACGCTCTCATAATCTATCCAGAATACTCCATTATCAAACTGAGCTGCACTATTTGGATCATAATTTAGTAGTCTCTGTAATTCGGGGGTCCAGTGCTTCGTGTCCAGCTCTGAATAGTTTCCTCTCCATCTCAAGTGAGACCATGGATTTTTTAATTTCAGCAATTTGACCTAGGAAACAAAAATCATGTACCTACGCTAAAACAAGTTAATTGCGAGGAATGAATGTTTTAGACTTCAATGACCTGTTATTATAAATTGAATGGTAACTCCATATTACAGCACAATTTTGAACACGCTGTCAAGTAGGATGACTCTGTATTTTCTAAACAATTCTGAGGATAAAAATGTTCATACTTTAGAATCACGAACCTAATATACTCGTAGTTATTGATGGATACATATTCACTGATCACGTTTTATAAAATTAATACAAGTGACAAGTCAAAGAACGAAAAAATGATTGACATATAAGATATATTGACAATTGCAATTAAAGAAGTAAGACCTTCTCATGATAATGAGCATTTAAAACTTGTAAGATAAATACTCTTGTACAGTATAAAAGCAGCTCTGGCATAGATGTTTATCAACTTTTGCTTAAACTCATTGTAATTTGTGATATCCCTTAGATATTTTGGAGAATTGTTGAATAGATGGATGCAGTTGTAAAAAAACATATCTTTCATGTGTTGTTGTATCATATTTAGAAAAACTTAAAAGCGTGTTGTATAGTTGTGGTTACTTCCACGGAGAGTAAAACTATCAGGGTTGCTTTTCACAAGTGTTACACGTTTTAATAAGTAAATTGAAGAATTTTACGTTCTTTAAAACTTTCCCTGCATGAATCATTATATTTGAAACCTAAAAAGAGACTAATAATTTTCTTTTGAGCTAAAAATGCCCTTTTAATATGAATAGACACTCCCCAAGTGGCAAAATTAAATGACATATGGCTAAAAATAGCAGAATTCGCCTTCTTCAGTTTTTTGCATACAATATAGAGTTATTCTAAATGCATAAAATGTTTCTTATCCAGAGCAAACGTACCAGTAACTTCTACCAATACTATTTTTTCACTAACTATATTTAAACAATTTACTTACGTTTTCGACAGTTTGCACGTCCATGACAGCGTAAGCATGCGTAGGAACCAATCCACTTCTTTCACTCTCGTAATCTGACAGATCCCCAGTCGCAACTGTCACTAAAACATCACCTTTTTCCATTCTGGTTTCAAGAGTGTTAAAAAGCGATTCTTTGTTGAAATCTGGTTCTTTCAATCGAATTGCCACTCTTTCTGGTATCCAACCGGTTAAAGCGTGTAAGTCGATATTCTAAAGAATGAAAAGAAATTCAGTCGCAACTGATGATAGTTTTAATTTACACTGAAAAAATGGCGAAAAGTAGATTGATAGGTCCATACAATTCGTCCGTAGAATATTATTTCCCTACGCTACGGTAGTGCATCTGGAAACGGCGCCTCTCCCCGATACTTTACAAGTTAGGAGAAGCAGACGCAGTCTGTAGATGCGCGATCTGTCTGCTGAGAATATTTTTTACGTCTAATAGGTGCATAGAATTACCAAGGTTGGGAGCGTAAAAATGTACTAGCATCATGGACCATTTTTTTCGTTTTAGGTCTTTTTCGCTGCCGCAACTGGACCGAACACTGTGTAAAAATTTCATCAAAATCTTAGCGCATCTTCTCAAGTTATAGACGGTTATTAGATTAGCGTACAGACAGACTGGCGGAAATAAATTACATGTTTTTTCGTGATGTACATGTCATATAATATCCAAAAGACATAATATCTCATTTTACAAAATTTTTGCGATTACAACACTTTCCCGCGAGTAGGCGTGACGAGTAAAAGTAATTAATTTTTCTAGTACAAATTAGATTCTATCAACACTTACACTATTACTTCCTGGAAAATCATATCCGCCCATCACTTTCATGTAAGCTTTTTCCAAAAATGATACCCAAAATTCATTTTTATTACTGGAATATGAACATAACAATCTTCCAAAACGATCTATTGGTAAACTATCATCTATAATAACTTTTCTGGCCACACCATTTATATGGAGCTTTATCATATATTTTCCTGAAATATAAAAAAGTTACAAAATACAGGGTGTCCGCAAAGTTGGGGTTTTCCTTTTCAGAAACAACTACCCTTGAAATAACAAAAGTAATGTGTAGTGAAACGAGAGCGACCAAGTAAAAAAAAATAAAGGAAAAAGTACTCACTCTCCAGTTGACGAGAAGGGCTAAGTACGTCTCTGCCCGAAATCATACCGCTCCAACAGAAAATGAAATCAGCTGAAGCGCTACCGAGCAGACGCAGAAACCACATTGATTGTCTTAAGGAAGGCAAAATGTTTCGTGAAAAGTCTAGGTATTGCATCCCGTCCAATCGATTTGGGAGAATAAATGGTCCAATGAGCATACCGTTCACCATGCCAGCCCAAACATTCACCGAAAATGTTTGTTGAAAATGACCAAACATGAGTGTTGCGAAAGTTATTCACCCCATTACGCGTGAACGTAGATTCGTCTGTCACCAATATGCACTTCAAAAAGTCCGGATTATTGTCATGTTGATGCAACAACCACTCACAAAACCGCACTCTTGCTGGAAAATCGTCAGGTTGAAGGGCTTGTACACGTTGGACGTGAAACGGATACAGCCCCTCTTCACGCAGCGTTTGCCACACTTTAGTTTTTGATACTTGCACTTCTCTAGCCACGTCTCTAGTGCTCGTTGTTTTTTGAAACGCAATCGATTATACGAGTTCGTTTACCTCTACACGCGTGACTGTAACCGTCGGTTGAAGGTTGCATACTAACCTGACACACTGACCCCGACTCAGTTCTGCCGTCGGGTTGAGACCTTGTACCAGTCGGGGATATCCCGGCGGGTCGCGGCTACAGGACCGTATTCAGATATTTTTGATGTTGCAGAGCCCTTTATCTCGGTTCCCTTAAGACATTGGTGTATATGGTACTAAGAAAAATTGCTTATGTTTTCAAGATCTACACGTCGTGTAAAGGAAAACCCCAACTTTGCGGACACCCTGTATATCCGTTTCATGAAGTTTATTACATTGTCAAAAAAATACATCGGAAAAAATATTAAACTGAGCTATGGGAGAACCAGAAAAAGTTAGTTAATGTCACATACCAAAAGGATTATATAATGGCTTTTTATCCCTAGACTGAGGATAGATGATAGCTGTCACCAACTTTCTTCCAAATTTTCTTTCATAATTTGCACTAACAGCAAGACTAGCTACAAAAGAACAGTCTGATATAACTGTTTGTTTTATGCTCAAATAATTCGGATACTGCCCTGCGACGATACAGGGATCACTGCAAATCTCTTCTGGTCTTGCAAACCTGTAAATACAAGGAAAATAATTGTAACATTTAAATAATCCAAAGGTACACGACATGTAGGCCAATTTAATGGTAGAATGGAAGATTATTCACCTAGGCAAAATTGAAATAAATTGTTTACAGCGTCTTTCAAGCATTATGCTGGAGGGGTATTAAGTAAAAAACGTAAAAAACTGACAAAATGGAGGAATTATACTTAACGACACGACATGCATTGTTGGTTGCAGAAAGCCGAGTAGTCTGTAGTATTTATCTCTGAGATGTGAAATAAAGAAATCTGGTTGAGTAGCAAGATCTCATCTAGATGATTATGTATGTAACTTTTTCACGTTTCATAAATATTCTTGAAACATATTTTCTCACCTTTTAATTGTAATATATAGGGTTGTCCAATAGGGACGCAGGAAAGTAAACGTCAATTTGACATAGACGCCATCTTTGTTTTCTGTCACCGACATGTCATTTTGTTAGTTGAATGTTTACCATTGATCGCTATGGAGTCGTATTCGATTGAAGACCGCATTAAAGTTATTCAAGAGCACTACAAAAATGGTGCAAAAATAAAAAACACGTTTCGCGCGCTTCGTGAACATTTCGGTCACAACAACCGCCCAAACGAAACAACCATCGGTCGTCTGGTGCGTAAATTCGAGGCAACAGATTCTGTGGCAAATCTGCCAGGCTCTGGCCGGCCAAGGAGCGTTCGCACACCGGAAAATATTGCTGTTGTCAAGGAGAGTGTGAGAGACGATCCGAAACAATCAACAACGCGTCGATCCCAAGAATTATGCATTTCGAGAACCAGTTTGCTCCGCATTCTCCACAAGGATTTGAATGTACACGCCTACAAGATCCAATTGACGCAAGAGCTGGGTCGGGCCGACCATTTTTCGTGCAAAACGTTCTCAGATTGGCTCCTTGAACACCGCCAAATTGATGCCAATTTTTCATCAAAAATCATGTTCAGCGACGAAGCGCATTTCACTTTGAATGGGACGGTAAACAAGCAAAACTGCCGCATCTGGGCGAACGAAAATCCCGGTGAGTATCAAGAGCAGCCGATGCATCCTCAAAAAGTGACTGTGTGGTGTGCATTGTGGTCAAAAGGCATCATCGGACCTTACTTTTTCGAAAATGCGGCCGGGGACGCCGTTACCGTCAATTCTGAGCGATATCACGTGATGATAGAGGACTATTTTTTGCCGCAACTTGAAGGAATGGATATTATTATTATTATGTCTTTATTTATATGGGCGATGTTTATTTCCAACAAGACGGTGCAACATGCCACACAACCAACGTCAATATCCATCGATTGCAGTCCTTCTTCGGTGATCGCGTGATTTCGCGCAGGGGAAATGTGCCATGGCCACCAAGATCGTGCGATTTGACACCCTTGGACTTCTTTTTATGGGGATATTTGAAAAGCAAAGTCTACGTCAACAAACCAGCCACCCTCCAAGAACTCAAAAACAACATCATTGCCGAAATAAATGCCATAGAACCGACCATGTTGCAAAATGTCATTGAAAATTTCGACCATCGCGTGGACGTCTGTAAATCCAGTCGTGGTGAACATTTGAGCGATATTATTTTTCATACATAAATGGTATAAATGAACCTTCAAAATAAAGTACCCAACTTGATTTGAATATCAATCTTTCTTGTTTAATATGCGTTTACTTTCCTGCGTCCGTTTGGGACAACCCCATACTTCCCCAACCATCTCTAACATTTTTTAAATTTATTAAATTTGCATTGGTAATTTTCAGAATAAATAAGAAAAAGTGGATGCCCAACTATTTCTAGCTTTGAATTCATCTCAAATAAGCGTATTTGAGACAAGAAACCAATGGAGCAAATGACCAACACAGATTATTAGCACATAAATCCTCACTATGAACTGCCGCTTTCTTCCTCATAATGTTATACAACTTACAGCATGGACCTCCAACAATGCCATCTATGACGCAGATGTTACATCACATCAGAGCTAAACATTGATTGAAGCATCATCACGTTCACAACAAGTGTACAACAGCTAGTGCTAAGTTATCGTCTTGTGGAAAAACCTACGTTATGTCACAAACAATCTACAAAATGTAAAAAGACTGACAAAATGTCACTTTCCAAAATACTTAATACCCGTGCGGAGCCCCAAAAAATGAGTCTTTTGGATGCGAAGCTGAGTAATTTGGACGCTTTTCTCTAACTATCTGGTCATGTCATTGATATCAATGAAAATACTGCATACAATTGTTGCTGGCAATTGAAAGTTGCGCATCTGAAAGCGACTGCCTGCAATGGAAAAATTAAAGCGCGCCAGAGCGATGCCCGATATGGATTTAGTGATTTGAACCTGAGACGAACTTGAAATAATGGGAAAATAAGCATTTCAGGCAAAAAATGAGCAACCGAAAAATTAGGAAAAATCCATCCGAAGACATCAAAATCAGAAAATAAAGGTTATTTTCCTCGCATTTGACGGGAGCATAACCTCCATGGCATCAGCGGGATCACATTCTAAGGCCCGTATCGTCAGTCGTCCCTACAATTGTAGGGCGCGTTTATGGCCTCCTTGATTGTCATACTCCTTTTTCTCCTTCAAAAAGTTCTAGATTACACTTGTCTTTTTAAATTGTAGGAAATTTCAGGCTGATAAAACATGATATAACTCAAGAGCAAGCACAATTTGATTCAAATAGATGATTGTGACATAACCTCAAAATAGAGTTCTGACACTGAGAAGTAGAAAACTATGACAATCAAGGAGGCCATAAAGGCGCCCTACAATTGTAGGGACGACTGACGATACGGGCCTAAGGAAATGGCGTGGAAAATTGTGCATTATGTCACGCTAGAACTTATTGCGTCACTTTTGACGCTGAATTTTACGTTCCACCTGTGGAAAGCAAGTTTTGCAGTTTCTCGTTCAAAGAAAATAGTGAGAATACCCCGAATGCGCCTTTTTAGAGATATACACATGACAAACAGGCTGTCCCAGAAGTCGGCCTCAAGCCGGAAACGGCCAAGAAAGATATAAAAAAATCTAAGTCGTGTACTTTTCAAATTACAGGCTTCAAAATCGGAAAAACCTACTCACTGTGATGATCTTTTAGTTCCCATTACTGCAAATGTCATTCATTCATTTATTGGTTGCTGCGCTTTTCGCAAAATTAACCGGCGCAATTTGAAGTTTTTTAAAAAAAATGTTAAGCTTGCGTTGCTGCTGAAGAACGGCAGTTTGAACATTTATTGTGAATTTAATAAATACACTCACGAATCAATAAAAGTCGCGTAACTGTCTGCCTTGCTGTCGCTAGATAGAATAACACATTCCATTACTCCATTTAAGAAAAAATTGAAATTTGTAGTAGTGGAAGGTAAAGCATCATCAAAGGGTATAGATTATTCCGATTTTTTTAAGGCCTATAATTTGAAAGGTACACGGCTTAGACTATTTGTCAAAATATTTTTTTTAGAAAAGGTGAACAATAACACTGGTAAACATGCGCGTCGCGGGAGATCGTCTAAGCTTACTTATAAAAATCCCTCTTCTGCTTTTCAACCAGTGGCAATGGCCCATCCTTATCAGTGAATGGAATGGAATACTGGAATTTTTCTGATAAATCCACACTCATGAAAGGCACATATTCTCTCTTGTTGATCCTTGAAGTATGCAAAAGCACCTGTTTTTCTTCTTCACTGTAAGTGTCCTGACCTGATACCTGCAAATGCACACTGGTACCTCTGTGTAACTCAGGTTTGTGCCTTGGTGTGACAGATGTGGTTGGTTTTTGTTGGATAACTTTTGCTGGAGATGGTGCAGAAGGGGATGCTGGATCATTTCTTTTTATACCTGAATATATTGACAGAATTACACATTTTTCTAGGGACAGCTAGATTAGCTTATTAACACATATAGAAACTATTTTCAAAGATCAATGAAACATGTTCTGGTGATGCTCATCATATATAAAAAATATTTGTCAGTTAAATGTTGCAGTTGGCAATAATTGTCAATTAATGAGCTATACAATATCAGAGTTACTGGTGGTAATTAGCTACAAATATCTATTACAAGTTGCAATTTCCTATAACTGCCCTTTTAACACTTAAAGGGCATAATGCACTACACATTCCATATTTACTGTGATCCATATTATCAATAGTGATTGAACTATCAACATCAGTGGATGCATAACATACATCAATAAATAGTGACATCCATCAATACACTATTTCACAGTGAATATTGAACATGTAGCATTTACCAGTTTCCAGTATTGACTATGAATCCATTTATTTGTCCATTCCTCTTTACCAATTCAAACAATAAGTAGGTACTATCAAAAACTTTATTTAAAATTAATCATCTTATCTCTAATCACTCTAACTTTATTTGAAATACTATTTTTTATGTGTGCAACATTTGGTATTGTTAAGTTGGCTTGACAAGGGGAAACAAGGTTTTTACGCCTTAAATGCAAACCTTTGAGTTCTTCAGCCCTATCTAATGCTTGCAATATCAATGCTCTTAACTCTCCTTGCATCAAGTCGGGATACTGAGTGCAATACTCCACAGCTTGAGCATACAATTCAATTGCTTCATCTTTGTCACCCTGCTCATCTTCCTCTATAGCTTGTTGTAATAAAAAATGGCACTGTTTTAAACGAGTTTTAGCTTCTGTTTTTGAACTGTCTTCCTCAATTTTTAGCTCTGGAGTCCTATTTTTCAATTCACTGGCTCTACTACTGTAATCTGTAGCCTTTTTCATCAAGGACTCTTGTTGGTCTGGAGACAATTCTGCTGCTGCCTGGTTAAGAAGTCGAACTGCTGCTTCATAGTAATAAGCTGCTATAGTGCTCTCGCCTTGCTGATCAAACTGTACTGCCTTTTTGGCAGCTTCTACAGCAGCTTCTATGCTGTCTTGGCCAGACATTACTTTGCGTTTTCAAGAATGGTGGTACATGAAGGGTCACCAAGACATGATAAAGTAAAAACTTTGGAATAATTGTTATTCATCTATTACTTTTAATTCACATAAATTACTCACAAATTATTTTTGACAATCGTAATGTTTATTTTTATAATCAGCTGGCTGTCACTGTCAGTGTCACTCTCAGTCAAAAGTTGAAACTCATGAAAAAAATTCTTATTCCAAATGGTTCAGTAAAGTGCTCACTAGGAGATGGCGTTACCGTATGTGCCATGGAATCGCACCCCTGCTCTATGGCGACATCTGTGACTGTGGTTTTTATAAATCATACAGTTTCCTACAGTGCAGAACATTTGCTTCAAGCACATACATTCCAATAAAAGTTGCTAGCAAGAGAGTGCTATCTATGGAGCGGATTTTAAATTGAGGGCTTAGATATTATTTGAAGAATCATGTAGGCGATTGATTTTTCTGCGTATGCTTAGGCTATTTTTTCAGAGAGGACACTGCTTAATAATCAAATCCAAGCGAATAACCAAAATTTCTGTGTTATGTGCCGCGGTTATAATATGCTTCAAGATGACACACGGGTTGATGACGTCAGTTGCACCAATCGCTTGAACGCGTTGGTTTTAACCGCGGTTTTGTTGCAAGTTGTTTATTTTAGAAAAGCGCGTATATAATCTGTGATTATTTTTATTATCACTTAATAATCGTCTACAACTGTATATGGAAAGTTTAAATAAGAAACCTTTCATAATATTCATGGGAGAAATGTTTTTTCAGATATTTTTTTTAATGATGGAATACATGTCAGAGAAAACATTTATTGATTAAGCAGAAGTGATGAAAAAAGAAATTAGCAAAACCGTATACAGGTGGATATCATCTAGTGAGTTTATATGGCCATATTTTAATATTCTTGTGGTATATGGCTACACAGGATACTTTGTTAAGCATAGGAACTACATTTAAAGTGTCCCCAACAACCGTAATGAGTATAACTAATAAGGTGCTCCACTTTATGTTAAACCTGAAGTCAGCCTGTATCAATTTTCTCAAAAATGAAGCTGAAGTACAACAACAATATCCAGTACCCGGCAAAATTCTAACTTGTCACATTTCAAATAATAACCAGAAATATAAAACTACTCTTGAGTTGGGTAAATACCACAATTTTGCGGTGATAACTATGACATATAACAGCTGATTCGTGTCGTCACTTATAACCAAACTGATAACTACACTCGCTTGAACGGATCGGTAAATACCAATCCAAAATGGTAAATACCATTTTCATTTGGTTATCCGCTTGGATTTGATTAATGTCAACTGACAAGTTACTTGTCTTATCCTGACAATTTTGTCATCAGGATAAAAACTAGCTATGGGCAGAATCGAATGATTCTAATAATCGGATAGTTAGTATTCGAATGATTTTAAGAATCGATATATCACTCGAATGATCATTCACATGTTGTAAACATCGTTCAGTCAGCAGTTCTGATTTCTGATTCTCGTTTCTCGCTGCCGCGACGCCGCGAGCGATTTGAACAACGATTGCAGTGTTGCCGCTTTGCCAGTAATTACTTGCATTTGCAAGGAATGAGGAGCTTTGCAAGTAAACTTGCAAGGAATGGGTGCTCTGGAGGAATTTGCAAGTAATTGATGCGATGTTCATATTTTATGGATTAAAACATTCGTAACAGTTGCCATATTAGCATAACATTCTATGATACGGCGTGCGGGATTCAACCTAGAACATGGAGCCGAGCCAGCTGAAGTGAAAAAACAAATCGGGATAGAACGCATGATCACTAAGTAGGTGCTTCTGTTATCTGTCATTTTTCTCGGGACCATAAAGCCGCTGTGACTGTCAAGCCGCAGCAGTCTTGAGTCTTAGCAGAGCACTGAGGAGTAAAAATGGCCGTACTGACTGAAATATGAATACTCATCGTGAATCAATCAGTCGGTAGATATACATCTATTTTTGCGGAACACTCGTCACTCGGAATTGGAGGTTGTGTTTGGAGGTATGAGAAGTCATAGCACAGGTTCACCAAAAATTCATTCAGCGGTAGAATCGGTAGAATTAGACCTGAAGGAGATTCGAATACCTGTCATAACTAAACGAATAAAAACATTGAACTTTGCCAGTAATTGCAAGTAAACTGTCAGGTATTTGCAAGGAATTGCAAGTAAAACTGTCTGGTACTTGCAAGTAATTTGGCCACAACGCTGTGGCAACACTGATGAATGATTTTGTTTTAGTTGTTTTCGAACTTCGTGACGTGACGGGTGGTGTTTCGCTCAGTGGTGTTTTTCTTTTGCGGGTGATTTACGTTCGTCTTGTCTGTTTTGTTTAATACTAACTTTATCAGGCTTGGGTAAATTAAAATAAGGTAGTGTATATTCGTCCGTACATGTGCGGTCGACGTGACGTTTTGTTTAAACGGCCGTACATGTTTTAATTTGCACTGCTTAAAATAAATTAATCGTCCGGTTAGGTTAGCGCTTTCTTTAGAGGTTTTAATAATATTTCAATATGTACTAACATTTCAATAAACCATTCACCTGATCGAACTTAGGCAAGAATATCGAATGTGCGGCCGTTTAAACAAAACGTCACATCGACCGCACATGTACGGACGAATATCCAGTGCCTTAAAATAAATCTAAGTGTAAGTTTTTCTGTGAAAAAATAATTGTACTTTTTATTATTATGTTTTAATTGCAACAATTCTACCGGGAATAATTTTGTTACCGGTACCGGGACTCTAGCCACAGCGTAAATCAAATTCGTTAAATACCGATTTATTATAATTTGCCCATGCCTGATAGAATTATGAGACCTGGTGCTAAAAAATCCGTCGTTTGGGAATATTTTAAAAAATCTTCCAACACAAATTTTGTGCAATGCAATATTTGCAAAAAAGAACTAAAATTTTTTGGGAATACTACAAATTTGAATCAACATTTGAAGCGATTGCATGCAACTCAATTATTAGCAAATGAACCACCCAATAACGACAAGGATTTAGACAATAATGACCAAAAAGTGAATTCATTCAAGCACAAAGAAGATGAAGCTGGTCCATCAAGTAAAACCGATGAAATAATAGGAGAAAATCGAACGGGTTCATCGAATGACTCAACATTCCATCCTCCACCCCTAAAGCGAAGAAAGCAATTAAAATTATTTGGCGCTAAAACCAATGAATTGACTGACGTGGACATAATTGAAATAGATAATGCCCTTGTAAAAATGATAGTAAAAGACTATCAGCCTTTATCTATTGTCGAAGACGAAGGCTTTATTGAATATTCTAAAAGGCTTCAACCATTATATAATTTGCCGAGTAGGAAAAAGCTTTCAAGCATGCTTATCCCACAATTATACGAAAGAGAAAAATTAAAATTAAAAAATATGTTGCGCGAAACAAATAATATTGCAATCACTACGGACTGTTGGAGTTCAGATAGTAATAAATCATATATCACTATTACTTGCCATTTTATATATAGTGACAAAATGCATTCCAATGCTTTAGCTACAAGGGAAATGCTACATTCTCATACAGGAGAAAATCTAGCATTATCCGTAAAAGAAGTTTTGCAAGAATGGGACATATTTGAAAAGGTGTCTACAATTGTTTCAGATAATGCTGCAAACATAAAAACTGCAGTGCAAATACTGAACAAACATCACCATCCATGTGTGGCCCACACTCTTAATTTGAGTGTAAATGAGGCACTTAATGGAAAGCCCTTATTAAGCGCGATACTAAAAAAATGTAGGAGTATTGTTGGACATTTTAAACACAGCAACAATGCTTCTAATAAATTGAAAGCGGTGCAAGAGCAGATGGGGCTTCCTGTTCTTAAAGTGAAGCAAGATGTTCCTACAAGATGGAATTCTTGTCTAGTAATGCTGGAAAGATTATTGGTGATAAAAGATTCCTTGAGTATTACTATTACCAGTATTTCCAGTGCTCCAGAATTTTTAGATGCTCAAGAATGGACTATAATAAAAGATTTAATTCCTATTTTGAAGCCAGTGGAGGTTATCACCACAATCCTATCTGGCGAAAAGTACCCTACAATGTCTTCAATAATACCACTCATAAGAGGATTGCAGCATGCGCTAGTACGTTTCAGTACTGAAAATGAGGTCTGCACTCTTTTAAAAAATGATTTAGTAGATATTATTTCACGTCGTCTTGGAATTCTTGAAGTAAATAAGACTGTCGCGAAGTGTTCATTTTTGGACCCAAGGTTCAAAAAGTTGGGATTCGGGAACGAAACGAATTCTTCTAATGCTCAGAAATGGGTGTTTGAAGAACTGGTCCAACTGATAAGAAAGAAAAATGAACTAAATATAAATGACTTGGAGGAAAATAGACAGGAAGATGACTTAAGTAATCAAAATCCATCCAAAGACAATGATTTCGGAGTTTGGTTAAATTTTGACACAAGGTTATCTACAGTGAAGTCGACAGTTACCCCTACTACTGTTGCTACCTTAATAATTCGTCAATACTTGGAACTGCCTTTTGTAAATCGAAAAGAAAATCCATTAGAATTTTGGAAAGCACACAAACAAAGTATGCCTGAGCTCTATGAGCTTGCACTTAAATATTTAACAGTTCCTGGTACATCTGTACCCTCGGAGAGGATATTTTCGAAATGTGGACAACTAACCAACTTAAGACGAAATCGCCTATCTCCAAAAAACTTAGACCAAATAATTTTTTTAAATAGTTCTAATTTAGACTAGTATTATTAATTCAGAGTTTATGTTTGTATGGTACAAATATTTTGTTATGTCATGAAGTTTAATTTTATTATTTTATTTTATTATTATTCTAATATTTTGTTTTAGAAATTAACCTATATAATAATATATTATGTTTGCAGTTTTAAATCAAAGTTTAAGAAATGTAATTAAGTTTTATTTTACTGTTCAGAACAATAAGTTTGTTTTAGGAATAAATGTTTATTTTTCCAGTTTTAAACCAAAGTTAAATAAACTTTTTGTTAACATTAGTTTTATTTTTCTGTTATTATGTTACATATTTCCAAGCAGATTTATTATTATTATTATTACATATTTTGTTGCAAGGAATAAAGTTATAGGTAATGAATGCTCAATTCCAATCATGTATTGAGTTTGAGGTTTTAAGTTTTAACACCAAGATAGAATATGAAATTATCAAATCAATATAAATTACTGCTGTTATAAATATAATTAATAATCAGATAAACTAATATGCATAAAATTGAAATAAACTTTCGCCACTTGGCACATAATATACGTTAAAAAAACTATTGAGAGAAATCTGCTAAGGCACCCTATATTGTTATTCCCAACTAATAAAAAAATAGTTCGATCGAAATAGAAAGAGCTATCAAAAGAATGCGCTTGAAAATTTAGATTTGTGATTCGATTATATTACCACACATAATAATAAAATTACGATGCGACAACATAAATTCTCAAGCGCATTTTTTTGGTAGCTCTTCCTATTTCAGTCGAAATTGTCGAAATATACCTACCACCAGGGCCGGCGCTAAGACTTTTGACGTCACGGGCAAGCCCAATTCTGCCGCCCCCCCTCCCACTTTTTTCGTGCGCTCGGAAATCATTTAACATAGAACTCACGTATGTTAGACAATAATGCATAGTAATAGTTTTTTGTTTTCACACTACACATTTATTTATATATTTTGATTCTTAACAGTCTATGTACTCTATGTTACACCTATGTTCCTAACGCCGGCCCTGCCTACCACTTTTCGGGCCAGACCGCCAATTATTTCATAGATACGGCTGGGCTCACTGCTCACGCGTTGCTGCATGCGAAAGATGATTCACGAATGATCGCTCGAGACATCTGGTGCGAGACGCGCAGCGGCAGCATCGGTTTTATTTTGTTTCGAGCGGTCACACATTTGATTGAAGAGTGAATTATCATTCGAATCATTTGGTTGAAGTATTCGAGATATCTCGAATGATTTTGATAATCGAATGACCGATTATTTTTCATTCGAATGATCCCATCACTAATAAAAACAAACATTTGACTGACAAAAAATAGCCACAAAAAGTTGGACGAAGGTTAAATTTGTATAGATGTATAGTTGTTTTTATTTTTGTCGTATGAACTCATTATGAAGATCTCGTATTACTTAATTATATTTACACACAGACAGGTCTATAAAGTTACAGACCTGCTGTTAAAATTCATATAAAACAAGATATTTAGATAGTTTTTTATTAATGTTTGGAACAACTACAATGAAAATTGAATTAATCATCTTCCAGTAGAGCTTATGGTATGTCCTATGAAATTGTTTCTATACGTATGTTATGCAATAGCCATTTTCGTATTTCCATATACTGGACAAGTTGTAAAAAAGTGATCTAATATTATGTTTACACAACTTTGTTTTATCTAGGTGATTATCTCCCAATCAGTATTGATTGCAAATAAGACTGAATATTTGAAGGAACCTATGACTATATACATTCTACACCAAAATGTGCTGCATTTGCAAAGCGTAAGTTAATAAATTTATATAAGCTATGTAGCTTTACTAATATTTTGATATTTTCAGAATCAACTGGGTTTGCACATTAATTTGCTTGATTATAATTGTTGCAATTATAACAGGTGCAGTATTTTTAGTTTTGTACCTGAAGAAAGAAAATATAATTAAATTTTAACAAATGTACTGATATTAGAGTAAATTTTAGTTTTATAAAACTTATACTGTAGCACATCACAAACAATGCTCATTTTAGGTGTATTCAAAAATGAGTTTAATAAACTGATTTAGTTACATTGCTCAATTTTTATTTATCTACTACTAGCATACAGCCAATAAGGTATTGAGAATTTCAAATTGAAATATATATTTTTGACATGACATTTATCTAAATAGGTCGCACAATTATCTGCAAACACTCACACTAAAAAAAACAATTTCAAATTTAATGACAGAGCTGTCCAAAAATTGACTTATGTCACATGCATTTTGATCATCACTACAAGGCAAAAGAGAATTGCATCAAATCTGGGGAAGTAATGAATCAACCCCATTTTACTACCTAACAACAAGCAGCTAACTAAGCTGTGATAAAACAGATGATGCATGTAAGAATGAGGAAAGCTAATGTAGGATGAAGTACAATGTTACAGAAATAATTCAAGCAAATTTGAATAGGTGCAGAGCTGCATATGATTTAACCAATTCACAAAAGAAAATTCAATAGATAGTGGTCCATGGAAATCAGGTGCAGACAAGGATGAAGTTATTAGGATATATAACCAAACAGCAGAAACTTCTGTTGAGGGAATGCATACTAAAAAATGGATGGTTTGATAGATATCGAAAAAGTAGTTTTTTATGTATTTTTCAAAACATGACAACTGAAACTTTCCCAGGACTAAATCTTATTTAATAAGGGGGCAGGAAATGCCAACAGGCAATACCGTCGTGCTTTTCAGCTTGAGGAGTGGCTATAAAAGCTTTTCCCCTGTCCAAAAAAAAAATAGAGTAATGTTTGCAACAACTACAATGAAAATTGAATTAAAATAGGATGCCAGTAGGGCTTAATGTATGTCCTATGTATTTTTTTCATATGTGTTTTATGCAATAAGCATTTTCCTATTTCCATGTAATGCATGAGTTGCAAAAAATTATCAAATATCATGGTTATACTGTTATCTATGTGATTATCGTCCAACCAATATTGACTGCAAATAAGATATATATTTGAAGATTATAAAACATGACCACTTCAAAATCAATAAATGTACTCACTCAAAACCAAATTTATCTAATGGCTTGAGTTTAATGTGTATGAGAGAGAAGTGTGTATAGACACATATGCTAGAAAGAGATAGAAGCCGGCTAGATAGCAAACCTCATTACCGCATTGCATAGCAAAGCTGCAGCGTTGCCAATACATCAGTTCCTTGAATTAAGATGCATGTTGAAAGTTTGCGTTAGTTTATTCACTACAGCCAAATTATGGTTTTATTTTGAGCGTACACACTTTTGAATTGTTAATTGTGTAACATTTTTAGGATCGATTCCGGTTCGGCTATTATGTAAAAAAAAAACTACAAAATGTCATCTTGCAGATTAGGTAGAGTTTAGGGTGCTAATAGTTCATTCCGCGTTTGCTCGCTAAGATCGCTGCGAGCGGCCATCTATGGAGGAACGACTCAACCACACGCATTGTTGGTTGCAGACAGCAAGTATATGTTTTGTGAAGCTGAGTAGTTTGTAGTGACTTTGAAGATGTGAAAGAAAGAAAGTTGGTTGAGTAGCAAGATCAAACATTTTCGCAATGCCTCACATCTAGGCGTTGATGTGTTTTTTCTACTGACAGCGCAAGATTAATTTCTATAAAATAAATAAAAATAATGTTATAACCTGTTCACTTTCAGAAATATTCCTGTCTGTATCATATTTTCTCACTTGTTCCTTCACCGATCAGGGATTTTCTTTTATCTCTCTCATTTTTGAATTTCGGCAAATTTGCATATGTAATTTCCAGAATGAATAAGAGAAAATGGATGTGTAACTATTGTCTAGTTTTGAATCTCAAGTAAGTGTATTTGAGACATGAAACCAATGGAATTATAATCAACACATATTATTAGCTGTAGTACAGAACTTACAGCTTAGGCCCGTATCGTCAGTCGTCCCTATAATTGTAGGGCGCGTTTATGGCCTCCTTGATTGTCATACGCCTTTCTCTCCTTCAAAAATTTCTAGATTACACTTGTCCCGTGTCAGCGTCAGCGCTCTCCTATTGTGAAGATATGTTTTTTTTTAAATTGTAGGAAATTTCAGGCTGATAAAACATGATATAACTCAAAAGCAAGCAAAATTTGATGCAAATAGATGTTTGAGGCATAACCTCAAAATAGAGTTCTGAGACGGAAAAGTAGAAAACTATGACAATCAAGGAGGCCATAAAGGCGCCCTACAATTGTAGGGACGACGGACGATACGCGCCTTAGACCTCCAATAATGCCATCTCTAAAACAGATTTTACATCACATCAGAGCCAAACATTGATAAGTGAAGCATCATGACGCGTAGGCAACACGTACAACTACAAAACGAGTTCACAACAAGTGTCCATCAGCTAATTTGTATAAAACTTATTCATACTTATTCAAAACTGTAACACAGCAATGCTCATATTAGGTGTATTTGAAAATGAGTCTAATAAAATAATGTGGTTACATTAATCAATTTGTATTAATTTACTACTGCCAATATAGCAGTGCCAATAGGGCATTTAGAATTCTAATTTGTTTATAGTATTAGTTGACATTTATCCAAATAGTCCTAACAACAGGAATACTTATCATTGATAAGAAAAAATACATTACTTTATAATAATGGCTCTTCCTGGGTGAGAAAATTCAATTTTGTATAATAACATCTTTGATAACTTATCTCTGTTTTTAGATGGACTACTTCTTGTCTATATTGCTTGATGTGGTTTTTCATTTTTGTTTTAGCATCATCAATTTTTCTGATATCTATGTTATATTTCCTAAGAGGTATCATCCCTTTAAACTACACTGTTGTATCACATCACTCTACATAGTCTGCATTTATATGAAAAGTAATTAAAAAATGTTTGAAAATAATGTTGGGTGCTTTGACTTGTCAATCAATAAAACTGTCAGGTGAAAATATTTTTTAATATTTACACCTACATTCGAATGTGAATAAAAATGGGTAAAAGGTCTGGGTCAGGCTTAAGCAAACCAGCTCCTTCGAGACCGTGGAGACCTCCACCAGCTACAAGACAACCTCCTAGAGGTTCAACTGGATACGGCACGTAAGTTTTGGCTAATTTTACTTTTATTTCCTGGAAGTGAGTCAGATGACTTTTTTGGCTTGTACTCATATTAGTAAACAGCTATTTATGATATATTACACCACAAAAACAAACTTTTCCTTGAAGGCATATAATAAATGCGAATGGTACATGACTGGCTAAAAGAATTATCTGAAATACACCCGTAAATGCGCAAAATCTTTTTTTTTGTTAGACTTTGTCCCATATGACTCTTATCATCACGTTATGAGACACGTCACATTATTCCGTCTTCGTCAGACCTACGGGGCAGAAAGAGACGGATAGGTTAAAAATAGTCGATATTTTCTAGAAACGTCAGTCTGGGTCAGTCGTATTTAAACGTCGAAGTGAGGGTTTACGTAATCAGATTTTCAAAGTGAACTTTCGTGTGTAGTGCGAATTTTAATTACGTTTCTCACTGTTTACATTATAAAGCAAATAACAGAAGATGCCTAGAAGAGGTAGATCATCTCCATCACCTTCCAGGGCTCCTCCAAGGTAATTCCCATTTTCAGGTTATATAAGCATGACTGCCAAGATTTCACTTTGGTGTCTCATGTCTTCAACATGTGATGTTTTACGTTCACCTAAATACAGCCAAGTCAAGTCACACAGATGGTCGAAGATATAATGGAATTAGTTCGGGTCGAAGTCTAAAATAAAATCCAGACCTGGGGGTTCATTTCTCGAGCAACGTTTTTGAGCAAAAAAAAGGCCTTTCCCGTCGACAGATTTCCGGCTTCACTCTTTTTAACATTGATTTTAAAACAAATGTGATCTGAATAGCCCTTGTCTTAGATACATGTTCCCATTTGTTACCCAATAAGCATCATGCTAATATTGGAAGCTAATCTTGACTTTGGCGCCCGTAGGAATTTTTTTCAGGTGTGGTCGATTATCCGCTATATGCTGTATTCGTAAATTGTGCAGGATGTACTTTGTACCAGTCGATAATAATTTAAATGTTCATAATTGTTTGACATACCTGTTCCATGCATTCAAAATTAGAACAAAGTAATCCTTTTGGAATGTCAAAAGTGCCCTTTTTCCTGCGCTCAAAGCCTTGGGAACAAGAATGTTGTCATTTTCATGGTTCATTGTTGGTTTACTTTATTTGGTTATCAAAAAGTGCTCAAAATTGGGAGAATATATATTATTCAGATTGAATGAGCTATCCTGCATCCACAGCGTTTCTTATAACAAATCAATGGTCCCAAAAACCATGGTTAGAAATTAGTCGGCTGTCATCTAGTGACATTACAAGCCTCTGTAACAATTTAGGCATTCTAAAAATAAAGTTATACAGTAAGCCAGAGTAAAATTTCATCTGTCAGTCTACTTTCCATTACTGTGCACAGTATTACATTACAGAGTGATTTACAAACGCACCCCTGCAACTTGCAACTGATTTATAGCTAATTGTAACTTATAATTGATGGATGTAAATAAAATGTCTATTTTTTCATGGTGTCTTTTCAGCCCTTTCTTCAAAAAATTCAAATAGCTAGAAACAAATTTTGACATAAATAAAATGAGCCCATTCGGAGGCTTTGTATTGTTACCACTTACATTAATGTCATGTTAAACTTAAAACTATGTCATATTCTGCAGTCAGATATGAATTGAATAGTTTCTTTAAGACAGCCAAACCTTCATACATTCTATACAGTGTTTTTGCCAAGTATAAATATTTTCTTTCTATATTTTCAGGACCACTCTGCCTGCCAGAACAGCCCCACAACCGGCACCAGCTCCTGTACAGGCAGCCCCAGTGGCCCCAGCTCCATCTCAGGGCCCTGGCCTGTTTGGACAGATGGCTGCCACAGCTGGTGGAGTTGCTATAGGATCTGCTATTGGACATACTGTTGGTCATGCTGTCACTGGTTAGTTCAATAAACTTTTGGTTGAGTAGGCATATATTAATTTGAAAAATTCACTGCCTTATCTGCAATCTTCTCTAAAGGTGCACACCCACTGAGCTGAAGTTAATGAAAAAGAACAAGAGCTGAATTTATTTGCTAAGTTGCTTTGCACATAATCAATTGAGAATTCACACACTGGAGCAGTATGAGTTTGAAGCATAACAAGTTTTCAGAGAAACTAAAGTAATGAGATGAAGTTTTACTCACATTGCTCCTCTTTAGTGGGCATATGAGAGCATACCAGCAGATTGTTGCTTGCTGGCAGAGCTCTTCCCAGCAAGCTCTATGAGATATTTTTTCTTTTTTGATAGCATCCTATGGGACACCACAGGACAACAGCATGTGTTGGTATGCCTTTACTAGCTTGCTTTTCAGTTTATATCATTTTTTTATGTCAGAGTAAATGACGAAATGTCATTTTTTGCAGGAATGTTCGGTGGTGGTTCTAGTGAGGCAGCGGCTGTGCCACAACAAGCTCAGCCTGCAGCACCTCAACAGCAATATGGCCAACAACAACAGGATCAAGAGGGACCCTGTGGATGGGAGGTCAAGCAGTTCTTACAATGCGCTTCTCAGCAGTCTGATCTGACACTATGTGATGGATTCAATGAGGCCTTGAGGCAGTGCAAGATCAGGAACAGTGAGTAGAGAAATATTTATAAATTTATTAAATATAAATATATTGTGGCTCATGTCAATCTGCAGATTCTTAAATGCATTTAGAAGGCTAGGGGTCCTATCTTGCCAAAGTGACATTACCTAAAACTGTATTCTATTGGAGTAAATGGCAGCTAACTAACATGGAGGAGGTTTGGTTACGCGTTATATATTTCAATAATGCTTTTTCATCATCCTTCATAGTGTTTTGGTGGGATAGGAGACATCTGTCAAATGAGTGTGACATTTTTAGCAAAGATATGTGTTAACCTGCATTTTCAAGTGCAACTTTAATGTATTCTTTTCAGATATGGTAGCCTAAATGGGATAGAAAGAAGATAGAAGGAAATTTTTAGTATTAATGTTAATCATCAGGCAAACATTATCAGTTCCTTATAAATGTAATAAAATCATTTGTTTGGTCTAATGCGTCGTTCTTTTGTTGATATTTTTTTAATATGTGATTTACTAGGATATAATAAATCTCGCAGATGATTTTTCAGTATTTTATTATACAAAATGGAATTTTACACCATTGTAAATAAAAGATAAGTATTCTTAGATCAGTTCAATAGCAGTTTAACTATTGGCATGGCAGGAATTTTTGTCAGGGGGATTCTCACCAAGACATAACTTTTTGTGAGTGTATGTGCCCCCAAAGCTTTTTGAAGAGTGGTGGTGGTAAATTTTCCCGGGGGTCCCGAAAATCCTCAAAATTGTACACAAAATCATGCTAAAGGTCCACCTGGATTCCCAGGGGAGCCACGGTGGCACATAACTGTTGGTTAGTAATCAGAACTTGGAAAACGCATTTATATGCAATATAGAGTCAAATGTCCAGTATCCTGCCATCAAAGAACTGAGCCTAAGTGTGCGATTACAAAAGTACGAAAAAAGGAATAATGGCATTGGAGACATTCGGGGAGCGTCAGTGCTTCATATCAGCGGCTATTCGAATCGACACTGATATTAAGGGATACAGTGACGTCGTTCCATAAATGCCTCCATTATCACAGTCATAATACGTAGGAAACTAGCGCTATACATGAATGAAAACGTCAAGGGATAGCGCTAAACTGCACACCAACAGATGTCATAGGAAGACATCGAGGATGTTCCTCGCCATGCACACTGATCAAAAAAAGCATCTATCCCCTGTGTCCGCGATGACAGCACCGCCTAGTGGCTAGAATTATTCGGGACTTGTAAATTCTTCACAACTATACAGAGTGTTCATTATGTACCATAAATTTTACAGACGATTCTTTGAGTAATTTTAATAAAAAAAGTTCATATAAACATGGTTCCTGAAATAAAAAACATTGTTTTTTGTAAATATCTTTATATAATTTTGTTGTAATTTGGCGATTGTATTCATGATATTAAGGAGCTAATTTAGCCCTAACGTAATTAAATTTATTCCATATGAATCTACTGGCGTCTCGAGTGGGATCTGAACGAATGTTTGTGACAAAAAAATGTTAGCCACTGACTTTTGTGCAATTTTTATTATGTCCTTTGGATTAAGCAAATGGAAATCCAACTTTTTTGTCTCTTGAATTTTTTTATCTTGCTTAGTTTTCGAGAAAAAAATCCACTTTATTGCATATCCCTGGACCATACAAGAAATACGGGGAAACTGTTCTTCTGAAAATTATTTTTTTATAATTTTTTATTACTAATGTTGATGTTATTTAGTATTTTTGTTATAATATAATTAGTAATCAAAAATAATTTCCAAAAGAAACTTATCCCCATATTCCTTGTATGGTGCAGGGATATGCAATTAAGTGGACTTTTTCTCGAAAATTAAGCAACGTACGAAAAAAAATTCAAGAGACAAAAAGGTTATACATTTTCTATTTGCGTAATCCAAACATAATAAAAATTGTACAAGTTAGTAGCGAACATTCTTGGTCATAAACATTCGTTAAGTTCCCGCTCGAGACGGATTTAATAAATTTAATCAAGTTAAGGCTAACTTAGTTCCTTAATGTTATAAATACTACCGCCAAATACTACTACAACAAAATTAGGTAAAGAATATTAACGAATTTTTTTTTAATTTTAACACCCTGTATCTTGAGAACGAAGAATTTGCGGACCTATATTTATATGAACTTTTTGTCTCAAAGAATCGTCTGTTAAATAATTAACACCCTGTGTGTTTTGATAACAATTTTCGGTTGATCATTATCAAACCAAGCGAAAGTACATACAAATATGATGCATCTTAAACTAAATAATTTGTGTACTACTTTGGTCATTTGCACGAGATTTTAATTCATAACACATGATTCAAACTGCCAACCTCAAACTATGTAAAAAGGAACAAATTAGTGTTAGCGTAACATGTGAGAGACGAAGAGCTTAGAGCAAATGGATAAAGTTACTCAATAAAAACTCTGATCAGTGACACAAATTCCTTACAAAACTATTGTGAGTAGGTATGCCCTATTTTACTGGAATCCGTCACGCTTTGACGTCTACAGAGGTGAACAGCTGGTTAGCAAGTGACATTTTTGTATTAGTCTGCAAGGTTGGCAATAATGAATCGGGTGAAAATCTAGTAAGACTTGCTTGCAGCGTTTTGTTTTTTATATGCAAATGAACTTTTCTAAATAAAAGAACTGCGGGCAAGTACAAAATGAATCTGTAACGTACAAAAAAACCAAAACAAAATTCGGCTGTGTCGGCTTCTGACGGATCCACCAGAATGATGCGTGCTTTGTCGATATGAGGGAATTTTGAAATATTACTAAACTGAATCCAAATTCAAGATGAGATGTAAATAATAACAGTTAGCGCGTGATCTCTCGGCAATAGGTGGGGACAACGCCTCTCATTTGTCAATTCGCCATTAAATTTCAAGAGGTCGCCTGGCGGAATAATGCGCGGGGCAAGGGCAGGGCAGGCAGAGTTGCATTCAGGCCACCGACTGTCGCGTGCCCGTGTTTTCTTATTCACCTTGCTTGGTTGTTGCTGTTGTTGTTGTTAAGTGTATTTGAGTAATTTGTTAAGTTTCTGTTTGTTATTGTTGTTCCTCGTTATTATTTGTTTTGAACCAATCCTGCACATGTCCAGTACAAATACTGCTGACGAGGCTGTAGGCTACTCCTTTAGCCCTCCTAGAAAGCGATAAAAAAACATCTTAGCGTAGACATGAAAGACGTCATATTGAATACATTTAAGATAAAGCGGAAGGAAGACGAAACATCAACTAACCCGAAAATAGCTCTGAAAGTGGCAGATAAAATTGGGGTATGCCAAGCGACAGTGTACAATGTTTTGAACGAACATAAGAAAAAGCATGTCTTTTCTAAGCCAATGACGGGTATAAATCGCAAAAGTATCATAAGATCGTTGGATGACGCTGACAAGCATTCGATTCGGAGGAAAGTGCACGAGTTCTTCAGAAACGAAATACCGACAGTTGATAAAGTACTACGGGAGGTTAACGAGGATGCTATGTTACCAAATTTCAAACGTTCGACTATTCATAAACTTTTGAAGCATCTTAATTTCGAATGGAAGAAACGAGGTCGTAACAGCTTACTTATGGATAGAGAAGACATTGTTCTGTGGAGGAGAGAGTACCTGACCAAAATTAAATCATTCAGGGATCAGCACAGGAAGATCTATTACCTGGACGAAACCTGGATTAACGCTGGGCACACTACTCCGAAGGTATAGGTTGACAAAACTGTGACTTCATCCAGAAGGGCATTTCTAGATGGACTGTCGACCGGATTGAAAAATCCAGCAGGTAAATAGATCGAAGTATTTCACGGTATCAATTTTTGCGCACAATATCTCTCTATCTTCGTACCTACAAGACGTGCATGTGTTCTAGGCAAAGGAAAAAGGCTCATTATTTGCCACATTGGGGTATAGATGGCTTCGTGGATGACGGCTTATGGTCTTTTGAGTCAAAAAAACCACTGACTACCATGAAGAGATGAATGGGGAAGCATTCGAGAAGTGCTTTTTAAGGCATTTTACCACGTCTCGAAGACAATTCTGTGGTTGTTTTGGATAATGCTCCCTATCATTCTCGCAAAATAGAAAAAATCCCAACTTCTAGGAAATCAGACATTCAGAGCTGGCTCCGTTCCGAAAATATAACTTTCGACTCTTCCTTACTGAAATTACAACTATTAGATATTGTGAAACAACACAGACCAAGACATGATAAATATATGTCATAGATGAAATGTCCAAAGCACACCACAAAACAGTACTCCGTTTGCCGCCTTACCACTGTGAGCTCAACCCCATTGAGCTCATATGGGCAGATGTTAAGAATTTTGTTGCTGCCCACAATACATTTAAATTTTCTGACATGCAAGAGCTGTTCAGAATTGCTAAACAGAGGGTCACACCAGAAAGATGGCAAAAATGTGTGCAGCATGTTCAGGAGAAAGTGGAGGTAGCAATGTGGGAGCTGGACAACATAATTGAGAGAGATTTTGAATCCATCATCATAAACATTAATGACGATAGCTCTTCAAGTGAGTCTGAGTAAGTTTCGCGTTTTTGTTTTGTCACAGAATACATATTATGGGAATCCTAGTTATAGTGAAATATTAACTTACAAATAAACTACAGACAATGCAAGTCCGAAGTGCACCTTCAAAATCTATTTTCAATTGATTGAACGGCCTTATATTTATTCCATGTACAAAAGTGTCATCTCTACCCCTCATTGACTATGGATTCATTGTGCATAGTGAGCAGCTGGTTACCTCTGGTATGTATTTCTCCATGTTGTCTAGTTTGAAAAATCTGTAGAAAAACTTAGCACCCCTTCAAGAATAAAAATTTGATTTTGCGACACCCTTAACTATAACTACTTCACTATATTAGATAATTTCGTTAAATACTGTCATCTTTGTTTTACAACACGTTGGTGGTAGTCCATCATTCGGAGGTAGCCCTGAATGCGGCCCTGTACGCCGTCCTTGCTTTTGGCAATCACGCATCCATTCTATCTTGGGTGTAAATACACTATAGATAATCAGCTATTATTCTACCATAATGGATATTCGTGAAAAAGACAATAGTCCTGTTCGTTCAGTTGTCACTAACATGTCAGCGATCATGTCCAAGAGCTTGCCAAGCAAATTCCGTTCACTCTGCTATGCTATATAGACGAAATTCACACGGCCGGATACCTGTCAGAGTCATCGACCACTGTACGAACAAACTATGAAGCTATTCAATGCCAGCCTATATTAATTATGCTTATTTTGATGTATTTTTATTTGTATAGTAGTATAATAAAAAATATTAATCTACCAAAATGTATTTTGTTCTCAGACAGACAATATGAATGAAATGCATTTTCTAAATACAAAAATAAAAAACAACTCTGATGCGAATATATACATGTTTTATATAGAGATAAAATGTGTGGCAAATAGTGAAAAGGGCATAAGTCAAGTTTATCGACTTGTATAAAATTAACTTGCGGCTTTTTTACCAATGACGCTAGACGAATTTTATCGTGATCTTAATATTTATGGTGATTTTAAGGACCTTCTCTTCATATATCTACTTATACAATTTTACTGAATTGTTCTTTTAGCCACCCTATCAACGAATACGAAAAAATGTTATAGGACAAAAAAATGGACTTTGCCCTTTTAACTCTTTGCCACAGAAATACTTCTCGACTAAGTTGTGGGATAATCAGGCAAACATGACCTGTGGCGACCTAAGCTAACTTCAGTTCTTGATGTGGGATTCAGTGGCCTTTCTGAAGTCCACATACAGTCTAAACATGCCACAACTAACGGCCATAGTGTCTAGTCTGGGCTAACTTCTGGTCCATTTTAAAATCCAACGACGGAAAACTCGCAAGTTGTTTAAATAAAGATCCAGAGTCTATTACGTTCTGTCTTTGATGGGACAATCAGACTAAGATTATTGAGATTGAATGTAATATACCACTTTACGTGCTATCTATGGCATTTTTCAGTTCTTGTTCGAATTTCGACGAGATTTTCTTAGCAATAGTCATACTCGTTTCTAGGTCACTTAATAAAGCACTAAAACTATCTAGTTCCTTCTTCATATCCGTCACATTGCTCCTATGCCTCAGCTGATTTTGCACTTCTCTAACCGTCTGATCTATATCAATGTCTGGGGACGAAACTATCGGATTCTCTTTAACTGGCGATATTTCTTCTTTATATTTTTTCTTCATATGTTTCTTTACAAGAGGATGGTGCACATAAAACCAATCACTATCTGTGAAGCTGTGCAGAGTTTCTACATCATACACCACGATGTACTGGTTGTATATGGACGTGTTATCAAATGACGTACATTTCAAACTCAAATTCAGCTCGTTCATTTTCTCCGTACCCAAGACTTCAATTACGTCGGTCCAGACTATGTCAGAAATGTCTTTAAAATTTTCATTCGGATCTATGTCTTTCAATAAAACACTCATTATTTTATAAAATGGTTTTTCTGGATTTTTATAAACCTTGGTGCAATATTTTGAAAGGTTCACTTCCAGCTCCAATTCGTTACTTGGTGGCCACTGATCCTCCCATTTTGGCATCCTCATACTTTTCAATATCTTTTCTAATTTTGTTATATATTGTGGATCTTTCCAAAACTTCGGGAAGTAATGGTACGTACAAGGAAGATAGTCGGGAATTTCGCTCGGCAAATAATCCTTGAACGCTTCAGGAAAAATTGCGTATTCTTTGCAGGATTTATTTAAAGCAATTTTACTCAATCTACCCAAAGCCTCATTATATAGGCTGATAATGACATTGGGGTTTTTTAAACAAGCCTTGTAGCACGAGTTCCATTTCGCGAAACTATTTGCTCTCTTCCAGTTTTCCGTACAAAGATACCGAGACAAAAACGAATAAAGAGTATCTAGCTCTAGAGGAGGAGGTTTCTCTACTTTGCTAGCTAAAAATACTAAACCTTCCTCGATCAAATTCACTAAAATGTACGGCGATAGTTTTTCTACTAGTATAACGTAATCCGATACAATTTTCTCTTCAATAAGTGGGTTCAAATTGCACTTGTCTTTTTCGTACTCCTGCAGTAGTACCACTATAGGAACTTTTGTGAAGACGCCATAGTCCTTTAGGTGTTCGAAAATCCGTCTTTGAAGGTATGGGTTGTAATCTTTAGCAATGAATACAATACCATTAGCGTCAGGTTCTTTTATATCAAGTCCTTTTTGCTTCTCAACACAGTACGTTATTGATTCAACAGGACTCGGTTTGTGTCTCTCGATAACAACTTTAGTACAATTTCTATCTGTCCAATTCAGAGCATTTTCCAATGTTTCTTCTATCCTGGTGAGTCCATTTGGCAATTCTCTCTCATCTGGTATACTTATAACAACTTTCCAAAATATGTTTTTTTGCATTCGGCCTGTCAAATTATAGTACCTCTTTCTGAGAGTAGCCTGAGTCATGTTGTACAGATCAAGCTTTTCAACTTTGTCGTCTAAAATAGGGTCAATATCAATGGACTTTCCATATTTGTATCGCATTTTTAGAGCTAATGTTAGGTCTTGAGATGCAGTGTGTAATTCTTCAGCTTCTTGCTTCAATGTTTTTGTGTTTATCCACACTGGACTACAATCCATTGCCTTACGTTTTCTTTTATTTCTCAACACTACGGTTTTCCATTGTTTTATCATCTTACTAGCTAGTCTGTTCGCTATTTTTTGTTTTAATGCTTCCATTCTTTCTTTTCTGCAATTTTCGACGACGGTTTCAACTAATGTTTGTATAACTTCCGCGACAGCTGCTTTAATCTCCATTTCTTTTTGTTGCCTTTCTCGCTCCAGTTCTCTTTCAATTTCTTCCATTTTTCTTTTTAGCGCCTCTTCCTGTTTTTTCATCTTCAATTGCCTCAATCTGGAAATTAATATTTATTAACCTACATGAATCATTCATTATCTTTAACAAATAAAATCAAATAGACTTGTCTATAGGATAATCATTTTGGCTTAATGCATCAAATGTTCAAAATGGCCACCCCGTTGCTGCAAACACATTGTAGCGCGAAGTGAAATTTGATGAGTTGCCCTACGAATCATCTCGGGATCATTTTTGATTTTGTTTGCAACACGCAAAACTCTTTCTTCAAGTTCCGCTTCGCTGTTTATGGAACTGCTGTACACCCTTTGTTTCATTGTTCCCCATAAAAAATAGACGAGAGGTGTGAGATCTGGGGATAGCGCCGGCCACCCAACAGGTCCTTGTCGACCGATCCAGCGGCCTGGATAATTTTCATTAAGAAAAGACCTGACAATCAGCGAGTAATGGGCAGGACATCCATCCATTTGAAGCATCATTCTTCGACGGGTTTGCAGCGGTACTTCTTCCAACAGCAAGGGCAGTTCAGTCCGCAAAAGCTCCAGAAATCTCTCTCCGTTTAATGTCATCGGGAGTATTATTGGACCAATCAAAAAGTTGTCAATCAGTGCGGCCCACACATTTACAGAAAATTTCACTTGAAATGTTGAAGGCCTTTTCAGCCTAGGGTTTTCATCTTTTGGGCACCACTTATGTAAATTACGACAATTCACGATGCCGTCTCTCGTGAATTGAGATTCATCTGTCCACAGAATTGTTTTCGGGAATTCAGGATTATCTCTTGTTTTTATTAAAATCCATGTAGACATAACGCACCTTGGACGCCAATCCACATCTTCATGCAAGTGCTGCACCCTTTGATAATGGTTGGATGCCACCCTGCTTTCCTCAAGATGCGCCAAACCGATTTCTGGGATACGCCATGACGTAACGCCAAACGTCTCGTACTAGTAGTCGGGTCAGCAAACAAATCATCCAAAATGGCTTCTTCGATAGCAACATGAATAATAACACCTGGTTCGCGGCGATCTAGAGGCAAACCAAGTCCAGGGTTAGCCAGTCTTCTATGTACTTCTTGGAAGTTGCGGGCTGATGGAACAGGGCGTCGATTTGGAAATGCAGCTAGATAAGCTATGCAAGCAGCTCTAGCACTCCCTCGGTACATTCCATAATAATAATGGATATCGGCAATGTGTGCCGGAGGGAAATCACTTATACGTGGCATCGCGACCAAAAAGCGAAAGCGTGATATGTAGCAAACGAAACTGATAAAGTTGGCAGGAGAAACACAAATAGCTGCCTAACTGCCCAACATTCAATTGTTTTTCAACTGGGCCCGCCTCCCCACCCGTACTTCAGCCCGCGCGACTCTACATTGAATCACCAAAAAAGGTATCTACATGATAAACAATGGTGCCTAGCAAGACGATGCGCATGGGCTTTTTTATAAACACTCATAGAAACTGTTACATTTGAGTAATAAACGTGCAATTTTTACTTTTATAAAGCTGATAACATGTAGAATAACTTACAAATAAAAAAAGGTAGGGTACAAGGGACGATATTTATAGAAAATTTTAAATTATTGTAAAACAGATTTTCATCAAAATTTTCTTTATTCTAAATGGATGTCATTACTTTTCCTGGAATTCTTCACTTTTCAGGCACGTCCTTTTACCAGCAATCAATACAAAATGTATTCCAATATGATAGGAAATTTAGTTTAAAAGTTGTAACGAGTTATTTCAATATGGTTAGAAGCTGCTACTAAAAATTTTAAAATATTCGTATATTCATAAAAAATCAAATTCATGATTTTTTGATGATTTATCCGTCGATGAAATAGAGTGTAGTTTCCCTGATTTTGATATGTGCACTTTATGAAGACTCACACTGTATGTACAGCGAGAGCGAAAATAGTGAGAAAAAGTGTCGCCACCATCGTTGCTTATTTCCTGACGAAACGTAACCGCCTACATACCTTTCTTTCTCTTTAGCCTTCTGCTCCTCCAAAATCTTCCTTTCAAGCTCTAACTTTTTCTTCAGCTCCTCTTCCTTACTCTTCAAATCTGCTTGTTCTTTCTTCCTTTTTTCTTCTTCCAACTTCTTCAGATCAATGGACGGTAATACTGGCATTACGGCCTTTGGCATTGACGGTTTATTAATGGTGGTCGGCAAGGGAATAGTTGTAGGAAGAGGAAAACTGAAACCACCTTTCTTTGGATCTGAAGATTTTTGTACCTGAGGCTTGGGAAGTTCAAGCTGGGGCTTCGGATCTTCAAACATTGTTTTTCGAACATCGAGCTGAGGTTTTGGAACTCCGAACAGAGATGCTGGTGCTTCAAACGAAGGTTTTGAAGACTCAAACTGAGACTTTGGATGAAGATGAGATGCTACGTTGGACGGAAATGCTGAAGGTTTGTCGAAAATGGATCCCGCTTTTGTCACAGGTTGTGCAAATATACTTGTGGGGCCTGCAGGTTTAGGAAAAATGCTTTTCGACGCAAATATTGGTTGAGAAGTGGCATCTGGTTCATCCACGGTGGCCGGTTTTTGCCATATTGAACTGGCTGGAGGTTTCTGCCATATAGATTCCGTGTGGGCAGGTGGTTTGGCAAACGGTTGCGTCCCAAAAATGCTTGAAGTGTGTTGAAAACTTGACGAGGTTGTAGTTGCGGGTGCAGCTCCGAATGGCTCATTCTTCGCGAAGATACTTTGGCCAAATCCTGTAAGAAAAACCCACTCGGAATAGAATGACTTACTCAAGGAGAGCAGTTGACAAAACACGTTGATTATGCTCGTCACACTTTGCCAATGTGTGTGTCTACTATTCGTCATTTGTTCGTCTGGGCGGTCCGTAGGACCTTTGCCCATTAGTCACTGTCTAATGTACGTAGGTCGAATCTGTCAGTACTGGTTGCCCAGAAACCAGACAATGTCAAGGGCCACTGTGTATGTCATCGTTCTAGGCACAGCACAATCTTTTGGTTAAAGCTATCTACAGGGTGGACCAGAAAGACGTGTCCCAGCTCAAGCACAACATTTCACAAATTTGAAGTCGAGACTCGGATAGTGCGCAAGTCTCGATGGCTCACATCTCAATGATATTATTTTAAAAAAATAAAATTCCCATCTGTCTACTTTATTAAAGATATGAATATCTCTCCTAGGCTTTGTAGTTTTTTGCTATGATTTTTTTAAAATCCGCTAAACTTAATGTCACACCTTTTTTGTTAAATTATTTTTAGAGAATTTTTTTAAAAAGAACTTAAAGATTTACGTTGAGAAAAAAAGCTTTCTCATGAAATAAATAAAAAATAATAATTGGTTTAAACTCAGATCATGTAAAATTTTAAAGGTCGTAGACATAATATTCTGTAGTAGAAGCTTTGTCAGGTCTGGTTGCCCAATGAAGTAAATGATGAAACAATATACAGGGTGTGCCTTAATGATATGCAAATATTTAAGGGTGTGAATCTACATGAAAAATTAGTTAGTTTGCTTTATAAACTATGGTCCAAAAATGTTTCCTTACAAAAACTCGGGGTGTTGAAGCTTTAGGAAAAAATGGAAATTAATTAATATTTGCAGAACCGCTTCAGATTTTTCACTGATATTTAGTACTTAGCGAAAGTTAATAAAGTTGCATATTTTTCAATGCAAAAATAATTTTTAGCTTTAACAGTGGCGTGTGTACGGGTATTGACATCGATATTTTTTCAAGAAAAAAATGGTACGCCAATGGTTTTTCGCCAAATAAAAATTATTTTTGAATTCCCCGTTCAATTTAAAATAAATGATCTCTCTTGAAATGTTTTCCTTCAATGCACCATTTTTGAGTAAAAAAATAAAAACCATTCTGTTGTCCGAGAAAATTAATGTAATAATTGAAGAATGCAGTTTAGAAATAAATATCTAGTTGCTCTAGAATATGTCACTGGCTTTTGACAACTGACAAGTCTCTGTTATTCAAATCTGTTCGCTGTGACATCTTTTTCATTATTTGGTTTTTACAATCTTATTAATAATGGTGAATTATTCAAATGCAGAAATGGCGGAAATGCATTTCGTATATGGCCTTGCCGACGGTAATAGTGAGCAAGCCAGACGAATTTATCCCCAGAGATATCCCGATCGTGCTTTGCCAGATAGTCGAACCTTTTCTAATATTAATCGTCGACTTGTTGAAACTGGTTCTGCCCGAAGAGGAGCATCTGAAGGTAGACCTCTAAGTGTGAAAACACCTGAAATTGAGGAAGCAGTGCTGCACGAAGTCGAAGAACATCCTGAAACGAGTACGAGGAAGATAGACACTTAAATATTTGCCATCAAATTGCTTGGAGAATTTTAGTGGATTTTTTGTTATATATATATATATATCCTTACCATATTTTAAGAGTACTGGCATTACTTTCCATTGATTTTCCAAGGCGTGTGACCTTTTGTCAGTGGTATCTTCAAAAAATTACACAAAATCCGCAATTTGAATCAATGATTCTGTTCACGGACGAAGCTAATTTTTCTCGAAATGCCATTCAGAATTTCCGTTAGTAATAAGAAACAATATGTGGTACATGCATGATGATGGTGTACCAGTGTAGAGGGAATTAAGAGAAAGAATAGTTTCAGCTTGTGATAGATTAAAACACTCCAGGGATATTTCAACGAGTGCGCAATTCCATGAGAAGGAGGGCGGAAGCATGCATACTAAGTGAAGGGGGCCATTTTGAACAATTTTTGTAATCATTTCGTTGGTTTTAATGTTATGTTTATGTTGTCAGTTATTGTTGCTCATTACCTCTAATGTGTTTAATTTTTCCATTTAAATTAATAATAATTTTGCAAGTTAGACAATAGAACGGTTTTTATTTTTTTACTGAAAAATGGCCCATCGAAGGAAAACAATTCAAGAGAGATCATTTGTTTTAAACTGAACGGGGAATTCAAAAATAATATTAGTTTTGGCAAAAAACCATTCGCGTACCATTTTTTTCTTAAAAAATATCGAAGTCCATACTCGTACTTACGCCTCTGTTGAAGCTAAAAATTATTTTTGTATTGAAAAATATGCAACTTTATTAACTTTCACTACGTACTAAATATCAGTGAAATATCTGAAGCGGTTCTGAAAATATTAATTAATTTCCATTTTTTTCCTAAAACTTCACACCCCGAGTTTTTGTAAGGAAACATTTTTGGACCATAGCTTATAAAGCAAACTAACATTAATTTTTTATGTAGATTCACACCCTTAAAAATTCGCATATCATTAAGGAACACCCTGTATATAACTATAAATTGATGAGATGAAGTTCTGCCTGAAAGTCTATTCATTACCTGTTGCTGTTTCACTGGTTTCAAGTTTTTGCGCAAATGGACTAACATATTCCTGTCTGCTACTTTCATTGACTTTCTGTGCAAACGGGCTGATATATTCCTGGTCCCTGGTAGCCTTTTCAGGTTTCTCAGGCTCCACACTATCTGCAGCCAATTCAGCCAAAAGCCTGGACTTTGCTTCTTCCAAATCTCGTTCTTCAAGGATATCCTTATAGATGAGATACCCTTTCTTGTCAAAACTGCTTTGTGGCACATGATTGTTGTACGTTTTAGGTGGTAGATCTTTACCACAGATCACCCTGCCGACAGAGTATGTTCTCTTGGACTCAACAACATTCAAGGATCTATCAAGAATATACGGAAACTCGGGAAGCTGGAACGTTGTTTTCTCAATGATAATATTGGTATTTTCTTCATTAAAAGCTACACCATGTGATCTCAAAAAATCTATTGCCGATTCGGTATCGTCGAAGGCTAAAATTCGTACGAGTTCTTCCAAGGGAAACACTGATTTCAATGCTCTGGGCGAATAACATTTCAGTATTGTTTTCAAAGCTGTGACTCTGACTTGGACGAAGTATCGCATCAAAATGCAAGAGTTGAGGTACGTTGTTGAGTAAACCAGCTTGAAGAATTTGACATAGTTGTTTTTGTCAATAGCCGAGTAGACGTCTAGAGCGAATTTGACTTCTTTGGATTTCTGAATTTCTGGTCGCAGTTGTTGTAACTGGAATTAAATAGTTGCGTGGTAAGAAATATAAGATTATTAATATAGCTTTCATTCCGCCCATATATGACCAACCATGGACAGCTGTTTCGTGCTATTTGGCAACTCTTCAGCATGATGCAAACATATCAGAAAAACACTCACCTCCCACATAAAATTGGCATTATTCAAATTCAACAAAATAATATATGCCCGGAACTCAGCCTCATTTGGACACCTTTCCCCTTTGAGCTGTAGATCATGGTACATGTACTTCAAGGACTGGAGGCACTTAGTCAAGTTCTCAGTGTTAATTTTCTGATCACACACGGATGGTTCCTCAGCTACCAATCTGGCTGAACAGTGGATGTGGAACCTAGCGCACTGTTCTACCAGTTCTACAGCACCCTGGCAGCAGAGCTCTTGCTGGGTGATGTCTTTTCGGATCCCGCGGGTGCGATCCCACATGAAGTGGTACCATTCTGCTAGGTTTACCTTCAGAAACAAGAATAATCCTAATAATCCCACTTTACCGCCAGGTTTATCTTATTATGCGCTCGTTAATTATTATTAGTACTAGTAAATAAATAAATAAAAATTAATATCTTTATTGCCATTTGACTTGAAAAAGTATCAGCAAATTGTCAATGATGAATGAGAAAAAAAATACCTAAAAAGTTGTGATCGAGTCAACACTAAGTAAATTAAATAATACAAACATAATGTACTCAAAATAAAAACATAAACAAAGAATTTAAAAAGATGTGAATAAATAGCAAATAAAACAAAAATAGAGGGACGAACAGATTGAAAACAAATTAAAAATTAATTGTTTGCAATAATACAATTCACAAGCCTGATGTTAAGTATTCTTCAATATATATATATATATATATATAGACTTTTAACTCGGCGTTGGAAAGCATTGAAATTGGTGACAGCTTTGATAACAATTGGCAACCTGTTGAACAACCTGGCAGGCATTATGCGGGGACCATTTGCTGATAAAGCAAGACTATGTTGAGTGTTAAGCAGATAGTATGTATTCCTCAGATTATAACCACTCTCCACATTGCTTCACCACTCATATTTTTCAAAGTTCTTTCTAACATGACATACACAGTTAAAAATATAAAGTGTTCCCGACAAGAAGTGAGGTTGTTACTAAATGTTATTCTACGAATCACTCTCTTCTGCACAAGTAGCAAATCTGATGTATGTAAGCTGCTACCGCAGCAAACGATACAGTAATTCATGGCTGACTGTACGTGAGCAAAATAGTACATCTTAAGCACTGCAGTACTTACAAACTGCCTTAGTCTCCATAACACAAAGCAATGCTTTGATATTTTGTTGACTAAACAGTCAATATGATCCCTCCAAGTAAGCCTTGAATCGATCATAACACCAAGGAATTTGGTGACCTGGACCTCGTTCACTCTGGTTCCGTTAATTTTCAGGTCAATATCACAATCTGTATCTCGCAAGCAAAACTGCATCAGTTGCGTCTTCTGTTCATTAAGTACAAGGCCATTCCTTACACAGTACCTCTCCATGTGCTATGATGCAACTGACAACTCAGTAATGAGTTGAGTTGGATCTTTGTTTTAACCGCCACCGTGGTATCGTCAGCAAATAATGTAACAAAATGCTGTTTCATGAAAATAGGCGCATCTCGTTGACGAACAACAAGAACACCAGTTAAAACAACCTTGATGCTAGAAGATAATTTACATCTACCATTATTAATGACAACTCGTTCCCTATCGGGTAGATAACTTTCTATCCAATTTAAAGCGGTTCCTCTGACTCCGTAGTTTTTAAGCTTTTCGAGTAAAAGAGCATGGTTGACAGTATCGAAAGCGCGGCTTAAATCTATAACGAGACAACACGTTTTATCTTTCTTTTAAAGGCATGTTAAGACCAAGTCACACATAGATAATACTGCATCTTTTCTAGATAGGTTTATCTGAAATCCAAATTGGTACCTGTTGATGATATTGAATTTGTCAGCAAATGTTTTCAGTTTATTACAATAAGCCTTTTCAAAGAATTTTGCGATTACGGATAACAAAGAAATGCCCCTATACACTAATTAGCCAAGTTGTAATATCTTTTTTATAGATTGGTATGACAAGTGATTCTTTCAGCTTATAAGGAAATATGCCTTCTGCAAAATACAGATTTAAGAGTGCTCTTACAGGTTTTGCAACTAAGTCTATGACATTCAATAGGAATGAGCAAGGTACTTCATCAAAGCCTGCTGACTTCTTTTTGCGACATGTTTTAACAGCTCAAGAGCTTCATCTTCAGTAACTGGGCTTAAAAACATGGAATTTAATTGATGGGAGTTGGTACATGCTGCCCACCGAAAGTCATAGACTTAGTTCCGATACAGAATTTATAAAGAAATTATTAAACGCGTCAGCAGCTTCCTTGGAGAGAGAAATAATCTTAGGAACTTGTCTTTTTGTATGTTTTGATGATTTCCCAAGCAGTCTTACTCTTATTGCTAGACTTAGTAATTTTATTATCATAGAGGTCTCGTTTTGTTTCCAATAATTTTCTTATATGTTCTTTAATCAGTAATTTATAGCGTGCAGTCAACTCGGTATCATTATTTATTTTTGTAGCAAAATGTAACTCTCTTAAAAACTTACTTTCGTCAATCATTACTTTGGTTATCCAGCAATTCTTACAATTTTGAGGAGTTTCATGCTTACTTTTGACTAACATTACAGGAAAGCATCTATCAAAGGTTTCCATGAATATATCATGGAACATATTAAACTTTGAATTAAAGTGAAGCCCTTCATCAGACAAAAAATACCAGTCTGTTTCTTGAAAAAGCATTTTGAACATTTCAATATCTCGAGGTTTATGGAAATGGCGTTTGCTGTGATAAACAATTTGTATTTGAGGGCTACTACTTCCTAAATTATAGCCTACGATCTGAATATTATCGTCTCATAAGTTACAGTTAACTATTTTGGAGAAGGTGGAGGGTATATTGGAGACAACATTGTCGATGATCGATCTGCAGTTATTGGTAATTCTAGTGTAATCCCACACCTGTTATTCCATATTGAATGATTTCAGAATTGAAACAAGTTTCCTTGTTGATGAATGTATATTCAGTGGGTCGAAGTTCATGTTGAAGTCCCCACAAACAACCATCCTGTTGCTCTTCAAATGCCTTTGCAATATATTATCAAAGTTGTAAATGAAAAAATCAGCATCAGAACTTGGGGACCGATCAAAACAGCCAATCGTCAAAGAATATCATGGACATTTATCTCTATCATTGAAAACTCAAAAGCATATTCGAGTTGAGAAATACTACAACTAACAACCTTGCGCTGAGTTTCAGAATGGATAAAAATCGCAACGCCTCCTCCTTTCGGATTACTTTTACAGTAGGAGCCAGCAAGAGAGTAGTTTGACAGGGTAATCGTTTCAACTGCACGAGGTTGTAACCAGCTTTCAGTTATGCATACAACTTCTGGGTAATCCAGGCTTAAAAGTATTAACTCAAATTCCTCAATTTTTTTTCGTAGGTTGTATATATTTAAATGACAAATACGTATTTGTATGTTACTACTGCTGTTATCTCTCACTAGCACAGTTTCATTCAGTTGTTTATTATGTTCATGTATTCTATTCATAATACTAGCATACCGGGTACCATTGCTGCTCAAGAAAAAACTGGCAAGTTTTAACTGTTTTAAGAATAGTGAATATAAACTGACCATTCAAATGTCATGCAGCATATTACCAAGAGTATTAAATAGACGTCATCATAGGTAGTATAAATGGCAACACTGACTCGATGATGCCAGCCTAATGAAAAGATTTGACCTATAACCCCCAATCCCCCGATTTGCCAAACCAGACTGTACAAATAGTTGTTATAATGGAAGTTAAATTGTTTCAAAAAAGCTAATGAGCGCACTTACTTATGCATACTCCTAAAATCACTCATGGATATGTTTTGAAGTTGACAGTATATTTGATGCTAACAAAGTGGAAGAAATTATTAATACAGCAGACGCTCGATAACGTAAACACGGGATAATGAAAACTTGCGCTAATGTAAACACAAACTTCGTTCTATAGGATCAAACGGAACGCGCGATAACGTAAACAATGTGTACGCTCGATAACGTACACAACTCTCGGCGCACGGAAACAGTGCTGAAGCCTCGATGATTTATGTCGGGCGTCGGGGAGTCCCCGATTTATGATGTAGAGTGTAGGGGATTCACCTCTGCGATAAAATACGACAAACTCGGTCAGTCGTATGATCGTTTAGGATACGTTTATACGTACGTATGTATTTCATTTTTGAACTTAAGTGAATACATTGCACGCGATAATATATTTTACGACTAAGGCATCCACATCCTATAAAAGAAAGTGTTTAAAGTTGAGTGAGAAAGTGAAAATCATAGACGAAGTTGCACTAGGTGCGGGAGTGACACAGTTAGCAAAAAAATATGGAGTATCGAAAGCAACAATCTGTAAAATTAAGCGTATGAAAACTCAAATTTTACAAAGAACGTGCAATACATTTGGAGGTCCGGGAAAAAGAAAAACTTAAAAAAATGCGAATGCACCTAAAATGGAAAATTCGCTGTATAAGTGGTTTTTAAAACAACGGGTAAATCATGTCCCAGTTAGTGGCGAAGTACTTAAACAGAGAGCGAGACTGTTAAATGAAAAACTAAAAGAAACTGAAAATTTCGTAGCTAGTGATGGCTGGCTACAACGATTCAAAACAAGATATGGAATTCGACTGCTGTCTATATGTGGTGAAAAATTATCACCACAACCACAATTAGTGCAACCATTCAAAGAAAAATTGATGAAAACATTTACCGAGCTAGATTTAAGAATGGAACAAATTTACAACGCAGATGAAAGTGGCCTTTATTGGAAAATGTTACCAGAGAAAACCTATGCTGCATCATTTGAAAAATCTGCCCCGGAAAGAAAGCCGGAGAAACAACGAATGACGTTTCTAGCCTGCACTAAACTAATGGTTCACACAAAATAAAGCCACTGGTAATTGGAAAAGCAAAAAATCCGCGCTCATTTAAAAATGTTAATATCCCTGTTGATTATGACTGTTCAAAAACCGCTTGAATGACTAGCAGTATATTCCTGAAATGGTTCCACAGGTGCTTTGTCCCTCAGGTATGACAATCAATTATCACAAATGCTCTATTCATAATTTGAAGGTGTTTTCAATTTGTAGGTAAAAGGTTTCCTAAAACAACAGAAGCTTCCAATAAAAGCGTTGTTACTATTGAATAATGCACCAAGTCATCCTCCCGAGCAACAACTGAGGAGCAGGGATGGGTCAATTTTCGTCATGTACATGCCGCCCAACGTAACACCGTTAATTCAACCGATGGACTAGAATATAATAAGGCTCACCAAACTATACTATAGGAAGTTTCTACTTTCGTCTGTCTTATCAAAGAATCCTGAAA